CACACCTTCCCTGTTTACCTTTAGGATAGGGTGAAGTTCAGCCCATAGGATACTGATCTGCTCAATAGAAACAAGAGATGGTTCTCCCGTTCTCACTGTCTTACCCTGTCTGGAGGAGTCAACATCAACATCAACGTCAACCCTAACCTTAACCCCAAATCCCTAACCCTAAACCTAACCCTAATTGTAACCCTAACCCTAAACCTAACCCCTAAGCCTAAAATAGCATTTTCCTTGTGGGGATCAGCGAAATGTCCGCACTTGTCCAAATTTTCCTTGGAATTTTCCTTGGACTTCTGGTCCCCACAAGGATAGTAAAACCAAACCACACACACACACACACACACACACACACACACACACACACACACCTTGCATCTGAAAGTAGTCATTTGCAGTTAATCAAACGGTGTGAAATTGCCACATCATGAAATATTTTTCATATATATGTTTGTAGATGTAATCATGTATGTGCGTGTCGCTTTGTGTGTACTAGCCGTGCAAATGCGTGTCCCCGCTTATGTGAAGTTTAAGGTCCGCTCGCCAGAGCAGTTTCTTTTCCTCTTTCTCTTTCCCTCTCTCTTCCTTCTCGCGCAGGTTTTGATCTCTCAGCCGCGAGATCAAAGGCGCTCTCTGGCTATTAGTCAGCGCGAGCCATTGATCCCTCATCGATCCACGCGAGACACAGCCGCCCCGTGAACACCGTACTAGGCTCCCCAAAGCTCTCCCGCGCGTCGGGAGAGAGAGAGCAAGCAAGGAGAGAGGGAAAACGCAAAGGGGGGCAATGTGTGTGTGCATCTGTGTGTATTTTTCACTGGCACGGGTAGAACCAAGCTCGAGCTTTTTCTTTGCCGCGGGACATGAAACAATGAGGCTCGAGCCGGTTTTAATAAAGCGCGCTTTCCCTCCTTTCAACTCTGGCGCTAGGCGGACGAGCCGGCAGCGGAGAGCGATCGATAATTAATGACGATGAATAATTTAACCCTATCGATTGATACTTTTTCTTCCTCTTTTTTTCTTCGTATTTTCCTTATATCTTAAGGCCGGTGTTCTGTAAGGTTGTACCATATCACATGCAACCCTCTCGCATCACCATCTCCTTACTTGAGCAAGTTTTCCAAACATTCGCTTCCTTATCCACATGCCAATCTACTGTATATATATATTTTAATCATTTAGCTTCATAACTACACACACTAGTTAGTTTTCTTAATAAAATCGTAATCATTAGGATTCACATACAAAACTTTACCCCATTTATTTCCCTGCATACACTGGTTGAATAAACGTTGATTCCACATAATTTCAATGAAATTAAGTTGAACCAAGGTGAAATAGAACCTAGACTTTGAATTGATGGCTGTTTGGGGATGTGCATTCACAAACACACATATCTCCAAAAGGCTCATTGGTTTTCATGCACACACATATAGGTTGTATGGTCTTTTTTTTTGTTGTTGATGAAATTACGTTTTGTTTCTGAACTGGTTTAGCAGTTTTGGGTTTATAGTCATTTTTACAGGCTCATTTCAAGTTCTCCATTATTTCCTCTTCTTGACCTCATCCTCTTTTGACTTTTGTTCATTTTTCTTTCTTCCCCCCATTTCTCCCACCATCAATCCAAGTTGTATTGTTGTCTGTTCCATAGACCTCTCCACCTTCCAGTTTAACATTTGGACAGCCAGCAGGTCCTGTCTTCCATCCTCCTGCATTTCTTCCCCCTGCCCCTCTGCCCCTCTGCCTCCTTCCTCCCTTCCTCCCTCCTCTCCTCTCCCCCTCTTCTTCTCCTCTTACAAACCCATACCACAGTCCCTCTGTTCTTCCACCCCGAGGCTGGCCAGAGTGTCAGAGCTAACCAGAGAGAGGAACAGAGAAAGAGAGAGAGGGAGAGGGGGTAGAAGGATAGGGAGAGGGGGTTCAGTTGAGCATTTTCAGGGGCAACCAAAAAAGAAAGATGAGACAGATGTACAGTTTGTTTCATCTGTTGGAAAGAGAGAGCGAGAGAAGCCAGACTCGTATCTCTTCTCATATTTTTTTATTTTTTTATTGAGACCCTACACTTTTTCCATCTTTAGACACCACTGGAGACAAAATGTTGCCAGAATGTCAGTCTGTCACCCTTCCATCTCTGGCTGCTACTCTTCACTCTGTGCCCTCTCTGTCCACAGTCTCTCCATTACCAGTCTTTCTTCTGTTCCAAGTCCCCACTCTACCGCAAGACCCCACTTTACCCCTGTTCTAAGTCCCCATTCTACCCCAAGTCCCTACTCTACCCAAGTCCCCACTCTACCCCAAGTCCCCACTCGACCCCTGTTCCATGTCCCCACTCTACCCCCGTTTCAAGTCCCCACTCTACCCCAATTCTCCAGTCTACCCCTGTTCGAAGTCCCCACTCTACCCCAAGTCCCCACTCTACCCCTGTTCCAAGTCTCCACTCATCTGTCAGACCTGATTTAGTGAACTGCAGTTCATTACCATATAGAATCTGATTCCACATTTCCATTCACAGAAAAGCTCAATAGTGAACTCCAAGGCATGTGCAGGTGTACTATGGGGTTCCAGGACACATGTTATCAGTGTATTAGTGGAACAGTGGAACAATAGTTGCCAGTGTGAAACTGGGACAATATGTCTCACACTCTGCCTTCTTTGTTATTGGTGATTAGAGTGATCCAGCATCTATACTGTTGTATTGGTTGGCCAACAGTTACTGTGTGAGACTGGTCTTTTCTTTGGTCCATTACAGGCTAGTCCCCAATGCTGCATGCAAACCTCTTTGTGAGTGTCTTTTAGCCTTTGTTTATGCACTGTGTGTGTGTGTGTGTGTGTGTGTGTGTGTGCATGTGTGTGGTCTGCATCTTTGGTAAACAATGAACATGTGTATGTGTGTGTGTGTGTGTGTGTATTGATTCAGTTAGTATCCACGGTTTCAACAACGACTCATTGTGTGTGCTATCACGATCGCCATCAGTCGCTACCTGTACGCTGGTGTTTGTATGTGTGAGTGGAGTATGTGCATGTGACTCGGTGTGTCTCTGTGTGTACACACACTCCATCAGTCTATCTGTGTGTCTCTGTATCTGCCAGTGTGTGTGGTGTGGTGTGTGTGCGTGAGGAGCAGTATTCCCTGAGCTGCTAGTTATAATGTTTCTGGGGGTGATAGGGGGAACTTGAAAGCCCTGTGCTGCCCAAATCAAAACTAACAAGGAAATGATAGGGGCTCCTTTATCTTCTCTTTGGCCTGAGGGAGGCTGAGGGGGGCTGAGGGGGGCGAGAGAGGGAGATCGGGGAGGGAGTGGGGGGGGGGGGGAGTGGGGGGGGGTGGGGGGGGGCTTCCTCTCTGATTTGTAAAAAATGCATTACCTCCGAAATCAAACGGAAAATTACTGCGCCGAAGCATAACACACAGAGCAGGAGAGGGAGGGAAGGAGGGAGGGAGAGAAGACAGTGGACAGGTGGGAAAGGGAAGGGAGGAGTCACCTGTGGAGATAGGCTGGCGGATAGATAGGAGATGCGTAGGAGGAAAGAGAGGTAGACCTTGTCCGATACTAGAGCGCCCATATTGTGTATCCTCTGAGAGTATAGACTGGGGTTTAGGAGCCTATGGTAAATGATAGGATGATGTGCTATTGATGGCCCAAGCTCAAGGGAATAGGGAAAGCATAGATTGTTGCAAACATAGAATTACATATAGAATCATAGATATATAGGAGCTCTATGGCTGCAAAGACTAAATAAATTGACAAGTTGAAATTCAGTGCCTGTCAGGTCTCAAACATGCTTAAATACTGTAAATGTAGCTGCTAAAGGTGTTGAAATAATTCCACAACAATATCTGGGAAATTGTTTTGAATGTACAGCTTCCCTAGAATTCATAGTTATCTTAGTAAATAATTGAACAGGGATTGTTAGTTACAGGTGAAGATAATTACTTGAGACAGACAGAGTTTGCACTCAAGGATGGACAGTAAAGGATGGACAGAAAGTAAAAGAGGAACAGTAAAGGAGGGACAGTAAAGGACAGTAAAGGATGGACAGTAAAATATGGACAGTAAAGGAGGGACAGTAAAGGAGGAGCAGTAAAGGAGGAGCAGTAAAGGATGGACAGTAAAAGAGGGACAGTAAAGGATGGACAGTAAAGGAGGAGCAGTAAAGGAGGGACTGTAAAGGAGGGACAGTAAAGGAGGGACAGTAAAGGAGGGACAGTAAAGGAGGGACAGTAAAGGATGGACAGTAAAGGAGGACAGTAAAGGAGGGACAGTAAAGGAGGGACAGTAAAGGAGGGACAGTAAAGGAGGGACAGTAAAGGATGGACAGTAAAGGAGGGACAGTAAAGGATGGACAGTAAAGGAGGAGCAGTAAAGGAGGAGCAGTAAAGGAGGGACAGTAAAAGAGGGACAGTAAAGGAGGGACAGTAAAGGAGGACAGTAAAGGATGGACAGTAAAGGAGGAGCAGTAAAGGAGAGCAGTAAAGGAGGAGCAGTAAAGGAGGGACAGTAATGGAGGAGCAGTAAAGGAGGGACAGTAAAGGAGGGACAGTAAAGGAGGGACAGTAATGGAGGAGCAGTAAAGGAGGGACAGTAATGGAGGAGCAGTAAAGGAGGAGCAGTAGGAACAAGAAAATGAGGAAGAGAGGAAAAAGAAGAAGGGATATATGCAGTCAGACGATGGATTCTGAGAAAGAGAGAGAGGTCTGAAAATACAAAGATGAAGAGAGCGGGAAGAGCCACAGTCCAAAGACTAAAAGAGAGAGAGAGAGAGAGAGAGAGAGAGGGTGAGAGTGAGTGAGTGAGAAATGCCTGGAGTTAGTAATAATAATTTATACAAACACACCTCAATAATTCACGTACCATTTCAATGCTGGAGGGAAAATCCACATTTCATAGAGCATAATTAAATAGAGGCAGAGAGTGGAGAGAGAGAGATGGAGAGACCAGCATTAAAGATACTATTGCAGCGGCAGAGTTTATTTTCCATTTGAGGTTTGTAAAACAACCAAGATGAAATTGTAATATCCAAACTATATCCAATCTCTTGGACTCGTCTCACTTCACTTCATCCTAACATTGACAGGTGCTCATCTTTAGTATTTCACCATTCACCTCCACAGTTGTCTAATGTTCACAGTAGAATTACAACTCTGTCTTTAGTCATATTCACTCATATTACATGGTCAGCCATAGTAGTATGGTGCCCCTGGAGCAAATTAGGGTTAAGTGCCTTGCTCAAGGGCACATCGACAGATTTTCCATCTTGTCAGCTCGGGTATTTAGAGCCCAACGCTCTAACCACTTGGCTACCTGCCGCCCTAATTCACAGTTTAACTTCTATATTCAGAGGTTATTTTCTCAGAAATAATATGGATGTGAATGAATGTTCAGACAGAAAGACGCTGCTGATCAACAGTTTACTGGGCAATAAATATGTCTGGAGCGGCTTATTGTATTTATTCTGTACATTTACCTGTTGTGCTTTTCTCTAGCCAACCCAATTCCGATTTTTTGGCATTTATTTGGCATATTCGATACAGACCTTATCTTAGGTATTAGCAATGTGTCACGATCGTCATAATGAGTGGACCAAGGCGCAGCGTGATATGCGTACATCTCTTTAATAGTGTACTAGCAACACGATACAAATAACAAAAACAACAAAACGAAACGTGAAGTCCTCGGTTAACAACACAAACCTACACGGAACAAGATCCCACAAAACACAAGTGCACAACAGGCTGCATAAGTATAGTTCCCAATCAGAGACAACAAGCAACAGCTGATTCTCGTTGCCTCTGATGGAGAACCACCCCGGCCAACATAGAAACACATAACCTAGAAACTGAACATAGAACACAAAACATAGACCCTACACACCCTGGCTCAACATATAAGAGTCCCCAGAGCCAGGGCGTGACAGTACCCCCCCCCCCCCCCCCCCCCCCCCAAAGGCGCGGACTGCGACCGCGCCAACATAAACCCAACAGGATCCGGCTCCGGGCGTGACCACCACCGTCTAACAACCCCCCCGTAGCGCCCCTGGTCTGGTCCCGCTGGCTGGAGCTGGACTGGACATCGGTGGAGCGGATTGCTTAGGCTCCGGTGTGGAGCAGCTGACCGGTACCTGACCAGGCACCGGTGCAACAGGCACGGGCTGTGCCGGACTGACGATGCGCACCACAGGCTTGGTGCGGGGAGCAGGGACGGGCCGGACCGGGCTGGTGACGCGGACCACAGGCTTGGTGCGGGGAGCAGGAACGGGCCGGACCGAGCTGACGTCGCGCACCACTGGCTTGGTGCGGGGAGCAGGGACGGGCCGGACCGGGCTGGCGACGCCACCACAGGCTTGGTGCGGGGAGCAGGAACGGGCCGGACCGGGCTGACGTCGCGCACCACTGGCTTGGTGCGGGGAGCAGGAACGGGCCGGACCGGGCTGACGTCGCGCACCACTGGCTTGGTGCGGGGAGCAGGAACGGGCCGGACCGGGCTGACGACGCGTACCACAGGCTTGGTGCGGGGAGCAGGAACAGGCCGGGCCGGCGACGCGCACCATTGGCTTGGTGCGAGGTGCAGGAACAGGCCGGGCCGGGCTGGCGACGCGCATCACAGGCTTGGTGCGAGGGACAGGAACAGGCCGGACCGTACTGGGAACACACACCACTGGCCTTGTGTGGGGATCAGGAACGGGCCGGACTGGTAACACACCTCAGTACCTCTCGCCGTGCCTCTACACTCTCCTTCCCTCTACTGACCAATGGCCCCCGTAACCTGGTGGCCTTCTCTCCTCGTCCACAAACTCGCCCTTTATCTGCCTCCAGCAGCCCCGTCGTCCATGCCGTGTGCCCCCCCAAAAAAATGTATTGGGGGTGCCTCTCGCCTGTCCGACGACGGCCCGGTTGGCGCCGCTTCTCCTCTCCTGCCTGGGTCTCCCCCTTCATCGCCCTCTGGTAACGGACGGCCTCCTCCTCCGTGATCTGCCCCCAACCGAGGAGGACATCCACTAACGTTACCTTCGGCGTTTGCTCCTGGACACGCTGCTTGGTCCTGTATTGGTGGGATCTTCTGTCACGGTCGTCATAATGAGTAGACCAAGGCGCAGCGTGATATGCGTACATCTCTTTAATAGTGTACTAGCAACACGATACAAATAACAAAAACAACAAAACGAAACGTGAAGTCCTCGGTCATACACAAACCTACACGGAACAAGATCCCACAAAACACAAGTGCACAACAGGCTGCCTAAGTATGGTTCCCAATCAGAGACAACAAGCAACAGCTGATTCTCGTTGCCTCTGATTGAGAACCACCCCGGCCAACATAGAAACACATAACCTAGAAACTGAACATAGAACACAAAACATAGACCCTACACACCCTGGCTCAACATATAAGAGTCCCCAGAGCCAGGGCGTGACACAATGTGAAAAGGTGAAAATAATTCAGCTTTATTTGTTTTTACTCACCTGGCCTTGGTTCTCATTTTAGTTTCTATTTTTCTAATGTTCTCCTCATGGTATTACAAAATATGAATATATCATCCCTCTCTCCCCCCCTTTTTTTTAATTTTAATTTTTCTCCCAGGAAATAAAAGTAATTTGAATTAAATTTGAATTTTTCCCTCTCTCCTCTTTTCTCCCTCTGTCTCCCATCTCTCAGGTGTAGTGGAGGCATGGACTGTAACTGCGTCAGTGATCTGTTGCTCACCCCCCCTGTCCCTGCCCTCTGGACACCAGGTGAGGCAAGCAGGATGGGGGCACTTTTTTGCGGAAGCCGGGGTACGTGGTTTGGGGAGTTGGGGATTTTATTAGTGTTGTGGAGGAACATTTGATGAACTTTTGGGGGAGGGCAGATATCAGTTATACACTAAGGGAGATGTACAAAGTGCTTGTACCTGTGCAATGTTAAGTGTTAACTGTTATTATCAGCAGGGAATGAAATAGGCAACAAAAAACCTTGACGCTAATTTACCAAACTGTCTATATTTACTAAACAAAATGCTTTATTCCTACCTCTTAACCTTTGTACCTTTTTGTAGTAGGTTTACTTGTATTCCCTTGCATACTTTTTCCCTGTGTTACCGCTTAGTACATCAGGCCTTCATAGCTAGTGTTTTCTAATGGTCAATATGTATACTCCAACAAGTCTGGATTATAAAGAGAATTTGTTATATATAAATAACAAAAAACTTACCACACACATCGGTGAACAAATAAAGTTTCTAATTTGTTAGGATTCATGTTTCTTTACTTATTCTGCAAGAGGTAATTAGCCAGAATTGTTGTTCAATTGATGAGCTATTTAATTCTATTAGAAGTGTATGGCAGCAGGCAGTTAGAATTCAAGTATTGTCAAAATGTAAGTAGCATCCATCAACTCTGACAGAGAGCTGAAATCTAACTGACCAGCTAGTGGGTCCAAGCTAGAGGGCATTAGTATTACCACAGAGCAACATTGCTGTAGGCACGCTCTATGATATTAAACACATCATCCCTTAACTGCATCACTCCATCAGTCATCCAGACAGCTAGCCCCTTTGGCCAGCACTCACCATTCACAAACCAATAGGCCTCAATCTCATCCTTCTGCTCTCCTGGTCCTCCTCCTCAGGCATCGCCTTCCCAGACTGGGCCTACAAGCCTGAGTCGAGCCCTGGCTCGCGACAGATTCAGCTTTGGCACTTCATCCTGGAGCTGCTGCAGAAGGAGGAGTACCAGAGTGTGATTTCCTGGCAGGGGGAATATGGAGAGTTTGTCATCAAGGACCCCGACGAGGTGGCCAAACTGTGGGGCCTCCGGAAATGCAAACCCCACATGAACTACGATAAGCTGAGCAGGGCGCTAAGGTAGGAACTGTGTGTGTGTGTGTGGTGTGTGTGTGTGGGTGGGTGGGTGTGCATGTGCTTTATCTGATATATTTCAGTATAAGAAGCCAGAAAAAATAGCAGTATTTATTTTGGGTGGATTTAAGTCCTACGTGTCTCATTCACCTTCTCCCTCCATGTCAGTAAAAATGGAAAGAAAAATATGATGTTTTTTCCTTAGGAATGTCAATACCCTCGATTTCACCTTATTTTCCAATGTCCAAATGGAAAAGTTCACTATTAAACCTCCATATAAAATAGCTTGGACTTACCGAGAGTCAATCAAGTCCTTCTGCAGTCTCAGAAATACTTGGCTCAAAACTCTGTAGGCATTGCTATGTGATTTAAGCTATAACCCTGCTACCTATTCTGCTATACATCATTCTAATGAATTTACCCCCCTGCACCCCACCGCTACTCATTGTTTACTTATCAAATGACAATACACACACACGCGCACACACACACACACACACACACACACATGCACACACACACACACACACACACACACACACACACACACATGCACACACACACACACAAACGTACACACACACACACACACACACACACACACACACACACACACACACACACACACACACACACACACACACACACACACACACACACACACACACACACACCCTGTTACCCCCCTCCCTGGTTTCCCCTGCTCTCTCGTTAATGGGGGCTGTCGTAGGGGTCTAATTGTTATGAATTGGCTGGGGCCATAATTAGCCTTCTTGATTAGCCTAGCTTAATTGCTCAATTAAGGGCCGCGGCACAATTGCCACGCAAAGCAAAAGTGTACAAATCACTGCGAGGGCCCCAACCGTTTGTTGTGGATACATACTGATATATACAGGTCTGTATGCCTGTGAAGTTGTTACCTTATATCTACTGCGTAGCTATACAGGATTTTCACTTTGTCAAAGGCCTATTTTAAATTACTTACATGCTTCAAATACAGTCAATTAAAGTCTAAGAATGTATCAGGACAGTCACCAAGCTTGAGCACACATTTGAAAATATAACACGTTTTTTCTTTATTCAGTTTTGAGAACACCCCCCCACCCCGCCCCACCTCTGTACCTGAAGTACCAACCCTCTCATCTGAACCATATGGCAGTATGTAGTATCTGACAGTGTAGGATTCTGACAGGTGTTGTAGCCTGTGACACCTCAGTAGGTGGCACAGGAAACAAGCACTGTAGGGTTAGAGTGATTGGCACCTGAGGTTGTTTCCATAGAGACACCACTCACACTGTAGTTCCACCCTCAAAGAGGCACTTCAGTTGTAAATGATGTCAGAAGCACTGACAGCAAGAGTTGATGTATATATATTATGCATATTTCTGTACATATACATGTAATAAATCAAATGTATTCATCACATTCTTCGTAAACAACAGGTGTGGAAAAACAGTGAAATGCTTATTTACGGGCCCTTCACAAATATATGTAATATTTACATACATTATCATTGCTGTATGTCAACGGTGCACAGCAGGTCAGATCAGGCCCTGGAGGGATGTTGTCTATGCGCTGGTTTTTGGTTTTAGTCAGGGACTTATTTAGTCCTGCCTAACGAGGTGTGTGGTGACTCTATCAAATCAAAACATGAATTGATCAGTGAGATGCCAGGGAAAAACAAACCCAGCAGGAGTTTAGCCCTGGAGGACCGGTGTTGTTCCCCCTGCTCTAAGGGAAAACATTACTGTTGACCAGGGACTATCCAACCTTGCTCCTGGAGAGCTACCCTCCTGTAGGTTTGTGCTCCAACCCCAGGTGTAACTAACCTGATTCATTTTACCAACCAGCTTATTATTAGCATCAGTTGTGCTAGATTAGGGTTGGAGCGAAAACCTACAGGACGGTAGCTCTCCAGGAAGCAGGTTGGAGAGCCCTGCTGTGGACCATCGATGAAAACATGGATATTTATTTCTAACTCTTCATATTATGTCTCTCCTTTCTCCATTCCCTCCATCCTAATCTCTTCCCTTTCACCTTTCTCTCCATCCTCCCCCACCCAGGTACTACTACAACAAGCGCATTTTGCACAAAACCAAAGGGAAGCGTTTCACCTACAAGTTTAACTTCAGTAAGGTGGTGCTGGTGAACTATCCTCTGCTGGACATGGCCAGCTCCCCCTTCCTGCTCCAGAACCACTTCAATGGGGGCTCTGCCGCGCCCGACTGTAGCCCTGTCACACCCGAGGTACGGAGGGAGGAAGTGAGGGAGGGTGGGTGGGTGGGTGGGAGGGAGGAAGGAATGGAGTATATGACAGAGGGAGGGATGGAGAGAAAGGGTAATGGATGGAGGAGGGTATCGAGAGAAAGGAGAAAGAGAGGATTACTAGGACGGACAGGAATTACAGGTATTCCAGAATAGACAGCTACTCCAAGTTATTCCCCGGTATTATCACAATCCATCACATTGTCTAAATTGAGCTGTCATTTGCACAGTACATGTTTGAATTCACCAAAATTAAGGGACAAGTTGGATAGAAAACCAGCAGATTCCGAGTACCTGAGAACCATCAACGACAAACATTGGGAAAAAGAAGAGCGAAATAAAGGGAGGAAAATGAGAGGGAGAGATGGAAATATGGTTGCCACAACTCCATACTTGATTGTTTATTAATGTTGATTTGATTCGGCGGGTCTAGCTAAAATCCATTTCGTATCAGGGAACTGCAGATTGCACTGTACAGACTCCTGCTGTGTATTCATTCTTCAGTTACGGGAGGATCAATTGTATTCCGCGTATCTTATCAGACATATTTTATTCACTGTCTCTAATAGCAGCAGTCCTGATCATGATAAAATGGTCTTCACTTATTATTTGCCCAGAGTAATATTGAAATTTTTACAAAGATAAATCTTCTTGGACCACCAGAGGGGTTGTATGAATAAAACTGTCCTGTTACAGTTTGTAATGATACAATAGAAACACGTATTGAATTAATGGTTCTGTGCTCAGGCTGCATATTTAACTTTTCTGATTGATCAATTTAGGTGATGATATATTACAATTAAACAGTAACTGATTCTTACTTTCTCATTTGATTGGATATCGAAATTGCTATGACAATTATTTTTTACTGATTTTTAACAAATACAAAAAACGGACATTGCGATACTAGTGCAAAGGGTATTTTATCTTTATTAATTTAATTCATGAAATGTATTTAAAAGGGAATAGAGTTAACTTTAAATTACTAGCATAGTCTTTGCTTGTCCTGAAAGATAGAACAAGAAAAAGAGAGTCACAAAGAGAGTGAAGGAAAAAGTGGAGAGATGGTTTTAACTTGTCCTTAAAACAAAAGAAGACGTTGTCCACCCTTCTCACATTCCCGTCTCGGGTTGGCCTATCCCTCTATCATCGATTGAAAATGAAAGAAATAAAAGACAAGTAGATACGTCAGATCAGATCAATGCTCGGTCATTAATGCAGGTTTGGTTAAGCAATCCAGATCATGCAGCTTGGAAGTACAGTCTCGCTTCTCAAACTTGGAGCTGAGGGGTGACAGAAATTATTGATCCCAGCTCTTCTAAAAAAAGAGAAATCCCCCCTCTCTCTCTCTGTCTCCCTCGACTCTGTGTGACTTAACCGTTTAGTTTGTTTGGCCTCCTTTCTCTTTCCTGTTTTAAAGCACCTCTACACACACAGACACACACACATGCACGCACACACACACACACACACACACACACACACCTCATGCGCACACACACACACGTACATTCTCCCCTCTCTCTCTCTCTCTCTCTCTCTCTCTCTCTCTCTCTCTCTCTCTCTCTCTCTCTCTCTCTCTCTCTCTCTCTCTCTCTCTCTCTCTCTCTCTCTCTCTCTCTCTCTCTCTCTCTCTCTTACCCCACAGCTATTATTTTGTTTACTCTCTCTCTCTCTCTACCTTACATCAATCCTTTCCCTCCTTTGTCCCCTCACACTCTTCCCTCCTCGAAGGGCGCCCAATCCCTCTCTCTCTTGTCGTTTATCCTTTGTGCCCACTTAATCGTTGGCCTCCATTTGACTCTGTACTTCTTCTGGCTTTGAGCCTCTGCGTCCTCCTACCTCCTCTCCTCATCTTCTCCTCTGTTCTATCTTCTCCTCTCCTCTCCCTTTCAGTCCCCTGGCACTTCCTTTTATCCTGTCCTTTTTGCACCACACACTACAGGGTGCCATTGCCATCAAATGACTTACCCTAAATACATGATTATTTAAAGAGGAGGTTGAGGATCCTATAGACAAGTCAAATGTGTTGTTTTTCTTTGCTGATCAAATTAATTACTATTGATTGCTTTTTTTTGGTATCTCTGTCTCTCCCTCTTTCTCCCAGGCCCTGCAGTCATTGTTCCCTCGTTTGCCAGAGTCAGGGAGAGGAACCTCCCTGTTTGACCGAGTGGCCACGGCCCCGGGACCAGAGGGAGACAAACTGAGACTGGACACGTTCCCCTTCCTCAGCTCAGGTGAGAGAGAGGAGAGGAGAGGAGAGATGAGAGAGGCGAGAGGGAGAGGGGTGACAGGGGTCAAAATAAGGTAGAAGATGATTGTGGAAAAATGGGAAGGTAAAGAACAGAGGAGAGTGGGAAAAAGAGGCGAGGAGGAGAGAGGGAAGGTAAAAGGAAGGAAGGAAGATGATGGAAAGAGGAGATTGAGAATGACAGAGGAAATGCGGAGGGCGTCCGGAGAGAGAGAACAAGGTCAAACCCATGTTCACTGCAGTACTTTACACAGCAGTGATATGCCCCTTTACTGCCTCCAATTCATACTCTCCTTCAGGTGAGAGGAAGGGTTAGATGGGAATGATCTACAGTATATATTACAGTATTATTACAGTGATATGAGGCAGGTGCTCAATTAAGGTATTTGAAATTTATGTCAGCGGAATCATTTGCATTTTCCCTTTATACAAGCCTTCAGTTTGTATGTGTGTGTTTTATTTGTGTGCTTGCCTGCGCGAATGTGTGCATGTATCATGTATGTGTGTGTTTTATTTGTGTGCATTTGTGTGTGGGTGAGCGTGCGGGCGTATGTGTGTGTTTGTGCATGTGTGTGTACAGATGCCTTTGTCTGTCTGGATACTCCATGTGTGCGTTTCAGCCCTGCTGCTGCATCAGAATGTGTGCTCTTACTGTACAGTGAGTGTGTGTGTGAGTTAGTGTGTGTTCACTGTGCACACACTCCCCTTCACATCACAACCTGGCCCCCCTGTTTTGTTTGTCCTCAGGTCCTATTCCCCCCTCCTTCCCTCCTCACCCTCCTCTCCCTCCCATGTGTCCCCCCTGTCCTAATCCCTTCCCAGGCAGGAAGGCCCTAATTGAGGGTGCAGGCTTCAGTTTGTGGCCTGTGGGCGCCCATTACTGTGTTTTCATAAGCAAGTGAGGCCTGCCTGACTGATTCAATATTCATGTGTCTGCCAGCTACTCCTGGCCCAGCACACAGAGACTCAAGCACTGTCAAATTAGCCCTGCATAGCAAATAACAGAGAGAGAAAGCGGGAAGAAGAGAGAGAGAGCAAGAGGCAAGAGAGAGAGACGATCGGGATGAGAGAGAGAGATAGAGAGAGAGAGAGACGAGAGATAGCATAGACGAGAGAGAAGAGAGCTAGAGAGAAGAGATAAGGGCTAGAGAGAAGAGCAGAGAGGAGATAGATAGACCTAGATCGCTCCGACTGCGAGAGAGTCGAGTGGAACCAGGCGAGTGGGTCCTCTTTTGAGTTTGCTGTCTGTGTTGGGAGGAAGAAGTCAGTCGGTTGGGAGTTCATTATTTGTTCATCAGCATTCTTTTTGAATGATGATAGAGGAAGCTGATGTAATGCACATACACATTATATCAGCTGTTATGTTAATCAAATTTCTGCTTTTCTGTCTAATAGAAGAAGAAAAAAAGTCTTACATTGGTTTTAAGTTATATATTAAAGTATGATGGAGCCATCTAGAGTGCCAGGGTGTGCGAGTTCTGTTTTTCTATTATTCAGTTGACTTCACCAAGCACCTGGACTATATACACGGCCAACAACAGACAGCTTTTCTAAATAACTGGATTTCTCTTACCACAGTCCATTTTCCTTTTTTCATAGACCGTATTATTTTATTACAGTGGCATAACTATTCTGTTATGTATATATATATATATATATATATTATATTATTATTATTTTTTTAATTTGTCAGAGAGCATATCTCTCATCATGTGTTTATCTTTGTTGTGAACCAGTTGAATGTGTGAATAGGTCTGGCAGGCATATAGTCTAAGATCAGGGTTCTCTTCAAATCAACAGCGCTCACATTTTGCCCTAGTGCATAGCTGTGGATTTGCATTGCTAATTATTGCAGAGCATAATTAGTGAACATGCTTGGATGTGGTATGTCAGGAGACCTTTACCCCTTCAGAGAGCTAACCTCTGTCTCTGTGTCTCTGTTCTCTTCCAGGCGCTCCCTGTTACTCCAAGCCCCCGTCCCTGTTGGGTCCTTACCCCCGCAACCCTCCCTTCGACTACCCCTGGGGCTTCAATCCCTACCTCTCAGGGGCCTTCTCCCTCAACAACTGCCCCAAACTGCCCCCCGGCTCCCTCTACCCCTCCCACTTCTACCCCAACCCGCTGCAGACCAGTCTGGGCCAGCTGCCTCACCCCTTCTCCTCCCTACTCCCCCCGGGGGAGGTGGCAGGAGGGGGAGAGAGGGGAGCAGCGGGCCAGACTGGGGTTACTAACGGCACGGCAGGTGGGCAGCCCAGACTCTGCCTGCCTCCTTACCCTGGTGCTCTGTCGCTGGGCCGGACGGACATTGGCAACGGGGGCTCTGTGGGTGAGAGGGAGAGAAGGGAGACCAACACCCCAGGCACAGGGCTTGGGTTGGGGCTAGGGTTGGGTCTGGGTCTGGGTCTGGGAGGGATGGGTCTTGGTGGTGGTGCTGGGGGGCGACAGAGCCCATCAGAGCGGCGAGGCGGGGTGAAGCAGGACCCAGAGTCAGACTCGGACCTGGAGATCACAGATCTGAGCGACTGCAGCTCAGACAACGACAACGAGCCTGACTTCAGCATCATCAAGGAGACCCGGCTGAGCGGTCGATCACAGATCCTGGTGGAGGGGAAGAAAGGGGGAGCACTGCCACCTCTCTCCTCCCTCCCTCCCCCTGTGTCCCCCCATGCCCTCAAGAGGCTGGTGTCCCTCACCCCTCCCCCTCCGTCCCTCCCTCTACCCCTCTCTCCATCCATTGCTCTGGTTGAACGGCACAGGGAGACAGAGACTCTCAAACTGATCCACAGCTAATAGATTCTAATAGATAACTCTCTCTCTCTTTCCCTCCTCTCTCTCCTTCTCTCTTTCTCTCCCTTCATCTGTTTGTTGTCTTTTATTTGCTGTTTCTTTAGACTCTGCTCTGCGCCTTTTGAAACGTCTTTCCCCTTCTCTCTGTTTTTTCTTCCTCTCTCTTCCGCTCTCTCTTTACATGTTAACATGTCCAACATGGCTGAGCTAGTGAGCTTGCTGATTTTGACATTACTGAGAGTCTACCATGTTTCAGATGTATGTGTACTTCTTATTCATTATGAGCTCCCACACATTTTATTGTCTCAAGGTTTCAGTGATGTTTTGAGCTTTAACAGCATTGTACATTGTTCTGTGCTATTCATATGTTACCATGTTACTGCAATGGGTCCATCAAACTGCATAAATATAACTCAATATATAATTCATTACATTAAAACATAATGCTATAACAATAATAAACAACACTACAATATACACACATAAGATGAATTGCAATAATGGCCACAAGAAATTATATCTGACAGATATTACTTTAGTTTTTTTGGGATTCCTTTTCCTGGGTACAGGTATGGTTTTTGCTGTTCAAAACATAGTCAGACATTGCCAGCTGGTGGTCATTATAGGAGGCTGCTACAGTTCATTGTCTGTTTGGAGAAATTATCATCCCCCAAATCCAAACAATTAGTCATTTTGCTCTGGTAATGTAATGCTCTGGTATTGTAATGTACATTTCTAACTCCATACTTTTTTGTTTATTATTGTTTAATGCTAATTTAAATTGCTTCACTTTCTTCAGTGAGAGGGAGAGAAAAGGGAGAGAGAGAAAGAAAGAGCAAAACAGAGAGCTGGACAAATCTAGAATTTGTATCAATATTTCATTGTATATATTTTATTATGATGTACATTACATTTAATTATTATCAATATTATAAAGGTTAGCTGTGTTGGTGTGATTTAATTACGTATTTAAATAATGTTGGGAAATTGACAAGTATAGGTGTATTAAAGTTTTAAATAATTAACGGCAGTCAGAGTATCTGTATTGGGAAGGTGTTTTTTCTATGAGGAGGACTCATATATGGGGAATTGTCTCATATTTTCTCAACCTCAGCTAATTGTGCCCTTTGGTCATTTTCCGAGATGCCCTTTGGATTTAAAATATTCTGGTAGTCTTATTTTTATAGTTAGCATTCACCCAGTGTAACTGTTCTGTAATTTCTCCAATGTGAATAATATTGGTTTCAGCACATTCTTTCAAAAAAATATGTTGATTATTTTTGAGTCAATGCTTTTTATCCATGGCAACAGTTAGGCAATGCGTCCCCTTGTAGAAATTAAAACAGAGGTACAAAGTATCTCAATACCAACTAGGGACGCAAACCAACTTCCCCATTCCACGATGCTCACTTTGAAGTACAGAGTGCAATACTAACTACCCCACATTGTACAGATTCATATGGTATGGTTTGTAAACAAGTGGCGGTATAACATTAGGTGTGAAAGCCCTATTGTAAAGGTCATATAATTCTATATTTGTTGGATTCTACCGGAAATCTCTGTTTCATGATCTCTGTGTGGCATTCACCAACACCGCTGTAAATACTCTTTCCTTTGTGAATGTATGTGTACACATCCAAAATGATCATGCCGTGAAATAATAAGTCACATTTCTTTGTTTTATTGTAAAGAGGAAAAATGGAAAGAGCAAAAATAAGAAAAAAAGATGAATAACTTCTAAAGCAATAAACATTATTCTAGAGATTGGACTGTTGTTGGCACTGAACTCATTGTGTGAATGTGTGCGTTGACACAGTAAGTGGCTCCTATAGGCCTGCTTGAGACCCCTGGTGTAGAGCATCCTTTCGCCACAGGGTGGCGAACCTGGACCTATATTACAATGTAATTACCTTATCTAGTCTACAAGAATAGTTTGCATTTTATCATGGAAGGGTTTGAGTTCATGAGGATGAGTAAAAATTGGCCATGGTTTCCCATAGTCTTATTTTCCTTGCATGTGTAATTGGCTGATTGAGTTCAATGAGTTGTAATAGTCAGGGTAATGGGACAGCATATGCCATATGGCCTCCTCTCCCAAGGATATAAAGTCATGACAAATCTGCCGCCTACCTTTGTTAAATGTGTTGAATAAAAAGTCTGAAAATGTCAACCTTTTCCCTACATAGTGTGCACTACATTTTACCAGCGCAGTATCAAGAATAGGGTGCCATTTCAGACGCACACTGCAAGCAAAGGCCGGATATGAAGAAGGGAAATGAAGATGACAAACCAAGATATGTGCATGCCCTAAACTTTCACACTAGCTATGTCGGAATTACTTTGTGTGATAGCCTATTTTGTGAATCGTGAAACATATGAGATCATATTGCTAAGTGAAACAGAAGTTTACGGAAACAAAAGCATTGCCTCTGTACTGGATATGCCTAAATGTATTTATGGATGCACTAGTTCAGTGTTCCATACCATACTGTTCAGTCAATGACATAATGTGTTAAATTCCATAATTTATATTTGAACACAGATTACCTTATGTATGAAAAGATTGGCAGTGAACTGAAATGTTGCTACACAAACACATTGAAGATGCATTGAATAACTGTTGATACGGTTGACTCCCATGGGGTAAACGAGGGGACCGAATACCGTGTAACACAGTCTTGTATGGAAGCCCAACAGGAAAGAACTGGGGATGGAAAAAGTTACATGAAAACCAGATTTTACATAGCTAGATCATATTGAAAACTGTATTATTACATCAAACCAATATATTTTGACATCGTCATGCATTACTTTGCCAGTGGTTTATGCAGATAAAAAAAACAGGCAAGGGGAAATTGTGCACTTGAATTTGTACTTCCGCGTATAATGTTTTTTTCCAGCGACATACGCCAACTTTCGAACAGCAAACCATATTAGACGTTTGTCAGTCTTTTTTTGCTGTATTTTGAGGTGAGTACCACGTCGAAACATTTAGCTAATTTAACATGTAGTACATATGTTGGATGGTTTGTTACTTATAAAAACTTGAGAATTAATTAGGTTATTCCGCGAGTAAAGGCTTGTCTCTCTGTCTCTCGCTAGCCAGCTCACCAGACAGCCTTTAGTTAGCGTCTAGCTAAAGGAATGTTGTGTTTGGCTACAATCTAGCAGAACATCTCGTTCTCTCGAGTCCCAAATCAGGTGTTTTGGAGTAAACGAAACACTATTTTCATTACAAAGCAGGACTTCACAAACTTGCTGAAGCATATTGGTATTTGAAGGGTAACGTTACGTGTCAGGTCGCTAGCTAATTTGTTGTTAAATCAAGTTATATTTTTTAGTAGGCTACAAAGTATCGCCATCCGTCATGTTACAAAAATGTTGCAAGGAGCGGAATTTGTAAAGTGACTCGCGACATTGTAGCCTACGGTTTAATGTAACTCTAACTATAGCAGGCCTACATGCGATGATTTGTAGGGTAAATCGATTTGCTTGCCTATGTATTTTTTTGGGGTATTTGAATGTGACATTTAAAATCTAAAAAGTATACTTGATCAAATAACATTATTAGTGCATGTTTGATTTAGCTGTTAAACCAGCCTAAAGTCTTCTGAGTGCTATTTAGACATGATATCACATACATTACACTGATAACACTAGTTTACAAGAGATTAGATAGTTAATCACTATTAAAGGTAGATAGACTACTGATAGGAAGTTATGTGAGATTGTACCAGTTCTGATATCATACACTGTAGCATATTTCTCCTGTTTTCCAATTGATCACACTATTTTATATCTTTCTATATGAAAAGTACAGCAGCAATACAAACACGCATCTGTTACTCAAGTCCCTCCCACTTTTGGCCCCTTTTTGCCTCTCCCCTCCCCTTTGTCTCACTCCCCTCCCCCATCGTGCTGTTTAAACCTCTACAAATCAAATCAAAATCAAATCAAAGTTTATTGATTGCATATACAGATTTGCAGATGTTATCGCAGGTGCGGCGAAATGCTTGCGTTTCTAGCTCCAACAATGCAGTAATAGTAACTAGCCATACACAACAATATGCACATCATTCAATAAGTTAAAAAAATATATATATATCAGAACGCGCAATGTCAAAGTCCAGAATATATACAGTACCAGTCAAAAAGTTCGGACACGTACTCATTCCAGGGTTTTTCTTTATTTTGACTATTTTCTACGTTGTAGAATAATAATAGTGAAGACATCAAAACTATGAAATAACACATATTGAATCATGTAGTAACCAAAAAAGTGTTAAACAAATCAAAATACATTTTATATTTGAGATTCTTCAAAGTAGCCACCCTTTGCCTTGATGACAGCTTTGCACACTTTTGGCATTCTCTCAACCAGCTTCATGAGGTAGTCACCTGGAATGCATTTCAATGAACAGGTGTGCCTTGTTAAAAGTTAATTTGTGGAATTTCTTTCCTTAATGCGTTTGAGCCAATCAGTTGTATTGTGACAAGGTGATGCTGAAACTGCGGTTGGGCTTGGAGCCTTGTGATGTGTCAGCGGCAACCACTGAACTACAGTGGCTTCCTGTCTTTGTTAGAGGAACAAAACACTTTGCTGTCATTTTTTGACATTTTAGTCATTTAGCAGACGCTCTTATCCAGAGCGACTTACAATTAGTGAGTGCGTACATTTTTCATACTGGCCCCCCGTGGATTTGTAATAAGTGGAGATTGTAACGGCAAGGTGGGTGATGGTTTTGAGTCAGCTTAGCTCAGGGGTATTCTCAGGTGAACACAGGTAGCCCTGGTTTACTGTTAGCTTGTACAGTAGAAGCGCTTATCTCTGTCTGTCTGTCTGCTGTGTCAGCCCTGTAGCACAGCCATGTAGTTCAGCACAGAACAGTCCAGAACAGGACAGAACAGTACAGGACCAACCCACTGGCCTCTGCTACACTATGTAGAGGCAGGGGAATGGAACTGAGCATGTGTGAAGGAGATGTGTGCAAGGTGGTGACATCCCCAAGCCCTGAATGAGTATTTTAGTAGGGAGGAGAAGAGATGTGTGAGTGTGCACATACAGTATGTACAATCAAGTCAAATCAAATGTTATTTGCCACATGCGCCGAATACAACAGGTGTAGACCTTACAGTGAAATGCTTACTTACAAGCCCTTAACCAACAATGCAGTTTTAAGAAAAAAGTAAAGTAAAAATAACCAATAATTAAAGAACAGCAGTAAAATAAAATAACAGTAGGGAGGCTATATACAGGGGTACCAGTACAGAGTCAATGTGCCCCCGGTTAGTCGAGGGTAATTAGACTGTATGTGGTATACAGCTGTTTGTATGTATTATGTCTTTGTATTAGACCTTGTGTTTGTGTGTGTCTCTTTTGTATTGGCTGGCAGACAGACAGGTAGTGTATTGGCTGGCAGACAGACAGGTAGTGTATTGGCTGGCAGACAGACAGGTAGTGTATTGGCTGGCAGACAGACAGACAGACAGGTAGTGTATTGGCTGGCAGACAGACAGACAGGTACGACATGGAAACAGCTCTGCCCCTCAGTCAGTGTGAGTCAGACTGGTAGAGAACAGGAGTGAGAGAAGGAGCTCTTTCATTCTAGACTGGGCTTCATGGACCGTGTTTACTCTTGGGGATGGATGGAGGGAGAGGGAGAGAGAAGGATGGATGGAGGGAGAGGGAGAGGGATGGATGGGTGGGATAACTTGCAAGAAGGGACTTGAACAAGAGTGGAGGTTTAGACACACACACACCACCACCATCACGAGAGCAAGCAGCCTCAAAGTACACATCCGTGTTGACAGTGCAGCAGGGCTGATGAGGATTGTAATGTAAACAATGAGAGGGTCCTAGGACACGACACTATCTTAACATTTACAACTCTGTATGAGTTGTAGACATCTTGTTTTCTAAAAATCTTATTAGAAAAGGGGGAGATAGAGCTGTATGACTAAATCTGAAGAGATGAATTATTAGGCAATTTTTACTGAGAAATGTAACAGAAATGTCCAATAAGGATGCTAGCTGCAGTATGTGGTTCATGGTGCCTCATTTAATAGAGCTATGTTAAGATGGAGGATATGAATGCTGCAGGACTGCATTGCATGGTGGGTGTGTGTTGGGCGGCGTTATTGCTACTCCCATGTTCAGAACCAGCCCAGATTGGGATTCTGGGAAAGCTCTGACAGCACTCTGGCCGGGCGTAGCTGCTTTATGTGCTGCAGTCCTCAAGTCATCATCAGCCACCGCTGGACATAGGGGTAGTAAAACGTGGCCTGCCAACACACGCACACATCCCTTCTGAATGAATGAGAACAGTTCTCCATGACCCAAATGGTAATCAAAGGCCTCTGTATTTGGCCTGCGCAAATACCCTACCATCCAGACACACACACACCGACACACACACCAACACATACACACATTTGGAAGCAGTTTAATAGGCGGGAGGCTCACTGCGAACCCAATCCATGCCAGTCGATTGGCCCTCGTCCATCCAATGTTTCCATGAAGCAGTGACCACTTACACGGAGAGCGAGAGAGAGAGAGAGAGAGAGAGAGAGAGAGAGAGAAAGAGGGTAGGGAAAGTAATGCCAAGGAGTTGTCAGGGGTATGGAAGTATATTTTGGCTCTAAGGGATAGGCAATAGGGACAGAGAAAGAGATGTAGGGGATTTAACACCACTGCTGTTGGTTGTCTATTTTGGCTGTAGATGAGAGAGGAAGAGGGGGTTAAACTTGGTCAGGGGGGGTTGGTGAGGTAGGACAGTCTAGAGACAGACCTCATACAGCATACACAAAGGGAGGAGTAGAGGGGTTCTTCCTATACTATAGACCTGTCTATGTTTCTTTGCTTCTTGGTCTATTTTGAGTTGCTAGTCTTATGTTAGCCAGTGCGTAATAGCTGTTAAATGACATAATTTGCTCTACTGTTCTGGTCATGAGTGGCTTGGCTGTATTGAAGTGGCCATACCAACCAAGATTATTGAGTTGAAGGTGGAGAGAGAGAGGGGAGAAGAGAGGACGGGGAGGGAAGGAAGAGAGCGAGAGAAACGGACTGAAAGAGGGATGGGTAGAGAGAAGAGAGGATGTGGTATGAGGCCATATTCTACACCACCTTCAGCGTAGCTGTTTCACTCCCTCCATCACACATCCTCCATCACACATCCTCCTGACACTTCTGTCTTGCTCTCCTCTCTCTCTCCTCTCTCTCTTGTCTCTCTCTCACCTCTCTCTCTCACCTCTCTCTCTCTCCTTTCTCTCTCTTCTCTCTCTCACCTCTCTCTCTCACCTCTCTCCTCTCTCTCACCTCGCTCTCTCACCTCTCTCTCTCACCTCTCTCTCTCACCTCTCTCTCTCCTCTCTCTCACCTCTCTCTCTCACCTCTCTCTCCTCTCTCTCTCACCTCTCTCTCCTCTCTCTCTCTCCTCTCTCTCTCCTCTCTCTCTTTTCTCTCCTTTTCTTTTGCTCGTTTATTCTCATCTCCTTTGTCTCTCTTGGTTCTTTCTTCTGTTTTATATATATCTCTTTTGGAACATCCATCCATTTAGGTCTGCTACTACAGTATGTTGAATTGTGAATGACAATCTCTGTTTACCCAATACTATTTTATGCTATGCAAACAAATGTACTGATTAACCCTCCAAATAGTTACAAGGCCAGGCAGTAAACCGTTCTAGTAGCTAGTTATCTTGGATTATTTAATCTCTTGATATTGAGTAATATATATATATATATATATATATATATATATATATACACTGCTCAAAAAAATAAAGGGAACACTTAAACAACACAATGTAACTCCAAGTCAATCACACTTCTGTGAAATCAAACTGTCCACTTAGGAAGCAACACTGATTGACAATACATTTCACATGCTGTTGTGCAAATGGAATAGACAACAGGTGGAAATTATAGGCAATTAGCAAGACACCCCCAATAAAGAAGTGGTTCTGCAGGTGGTGACCACAGACCACTTCTCAGTTCCTATGCTTCCTGGCTGATGTTTTGGTCACTTTTGAATGCTGGCGGTGCTTTCACTCTAGTGGTAGCATGAGAAGGAGTCTACAACCCACACAAGTGGCTCCGGTAGTGCAGCTCATCCAGGATGGCACATCAATGCGAGCTGTGGCAAGAAGGTTTGCTGTGTCTGTCAGCGTAGTGTCCAGAGCATGGAGGCGCTACCAGGAGACAGGCCAGTACATCAGGAGACGTGGAGGAGGCCGTAGGAGGGCAACAACCCAGCAGTAGGAAGAGCAGGAGGAGCACTGCCAGAGCCCTGCAAAATGACCTCCAGCAGGCCACAAATGTGCATGTGTCTGCTCAAACGGTCAGAAACAGACTCCATGAGGGTGATATGAGGGCCCGACGTCCACAGGTGGGGGTTGTGCTTACAGTCCATCACCGTGCAGGACGTTTGGCATTTGCCAGAGAACACCAAGATTGGCAAATTCGCCACTGGCGCCCTGTGCTCTTCACAGATGAATGCAGGTTCACACTGAGCACATGTGACAGATGTGACAGAGTCTGGAGACGCCGTGGAGAACGTTCTGCTGCCTGCAACATCCTCCAGCATGACCGGTTTGGCGGTGGGTCAGTCATGGTGTGGGGTGGCATTTCTTTGGGGGGCCGCACAGCCCTCCATGTGCTCGCCAGAGGTAGCCTGACTGCCATTAGGTACCGAGATGAGATCCTCAGACCCCTTGTGAGACCATATGCTGGTGCGGTTGGCCCTGGGTTCCTCCTAATGCAAGACAATGCTAGACCTCATGTGGCTGGAGTGTCAGCAGTTCCTGCAAGAGGAAGGCATTGATGCTATGGACTGGCCCGCCTGTTCCCCAGACCTGAATCCAATTGAGCACATCTGGGACATCATGTCTCGCTCCATCCACCAACGCCACGTTGCACCACAGACTGTCCAGGAGTTGGCGGATGCTTTAGTCCAGGTCTGGGAGGAGATCCCTCAGGAGACCATCCGCCTCCTCATCAGGAGCATGCCCAGGCGTTGTAGGGAGGTCATACAGGCACGTGGAGGCCACACACACTACTGAGCCTCATTTTGACTTGTTTTAAGGACATTACATCAAAGTTGGATCAGCCTGTAGTGTGGTTTTCCACTTTAATTTTGAGGGTGACTCCAAATCCAGACCTCCATGGGTTGATACATTTGATTTCCATTGATAATATTTGTGGGATTTTGTTGTCAGCACATTCAACTATGTAAAGAAAAAAGTATTTAATAAGATTATTTCATTCATTCAGATCTAGGATGTGTTGTTGAAGTGTTCCCTTTATTTTTTTGAACAGTGTATATAGACTCATTTGGGTAATGTTCTGTACCTATGTAATCCCTAATCTCACATGCAGTTGGAATATCAATGTATCTAATCTGGAGTGTAGTTTGTAATCTGCAGCGGTGGTGTAAATGTGTTGACCACAGTGGTGTTGAAACAGTTGGCATCTCTGAATGATTATCCTTCATTAACCTGAGTCGCCCAGAAATTTCACACCTCAGGCCTTGCCTAACCCTGCATTGCCCAAAACACACACACCTCACACAAACACACACACCTCACACACACACACACACACACACACACACACAAACACCCCACACATGTTGCTTTAGACAAAATGCCCAGGGCTATTTTCACTGTCTGAACTGGTTCAATGTGAACTGTTAAGGAACCTATCAGATACTGTCAAAACTATGTGATCAGTGTTTGGAAGCATGTAGACTAGTTGCCAAAATATATACTGTAGCTACAGTGGGGAAAAAAGTATTTAGTCAGCCACCAATTGTGCAAGTTCTCCCACTTAAAAAGATGAGAGAGGACTGTAATTTTCATCATAGGTACACGTCAACTATGACAGACAAAATGAGAAAAAAAAATCCAGAAAATCACATTGTAGGATTTTTAATGAATTTATTTGCAAATTATGGTGGAAAATAAGTATTTGGTCACCTACAAACAAGCAAGATTTCTGGCTCTCACAGACCTGTAACTTCTTCTTTAAGAGGCTCCTCTGTCCTCCACTCGTTACCTGTATTAATGGCACCTGTTTGAACTTGTTATCAGTATAAAAGACACCTGTCCACAACCTCAAACAGTCACACTCCAAACTCCACTATGGCCAAGACCAAAGAGCTGTCAAAGGACACCAGAAACAAAATTGTAGACCTGCACCAGGCTGGGAAGACTGAATCTGCAATAGGTAAGCAGCTTGGTTTGAAGAAATCAACTGTGGGAGCAATTATTAGGAAATGGAAGACATACAAGACCACTGATAATCTCCCTCGATCTGGGGCTCCATGCAAGATCTCACCCCGTGGGGTCAAAATGATCACAAGAACGGTGAGCAAAAATCCCAGAACCACACGGGGGGACCTAGTGAATGACCTGCAGAGAGCTGGGACCAAAGTAACAAAGCCTACCATCAGTAACACACTACGCCGCCAGGGACTCAAATCCTGCAGTGCGAGATGTGTCCCCCTGCTTAAGCCAGTACATGTCCAGGCCCGTCTGAAGTTTGCTAGAGTGCATTTGGATGATCCAGAAGAGGATTGGGAGAATGTCATATGGTCAGATGAAACCAAAATATAACTTTTGGTAAAAACTCAACTCGTCGTGTTTGGAGGACAAAGAATGCTGAGTTGCATCCAAAGAACACCATACCTACTGTGAAGCATGGGGATGGAAACATCATGCTTTGGGGCTGTTTTTCTGCAAAGGGACCAGGACGACTGATCCGTGTAAAGGAAAGAATGAATGGGGCCATGTATCATGAGATTTTGAGTGAAAACCTCCTTCCATCAGCAAGGGTATTGAAGATGAAACGTGGCTGGGTCTTTCAGCATGACAATGATCCCAAACACACCGCCCGGGCAACGAAGGAGTGGCTTCGTAAGAAGCATTTCAAGGTCCTGGAGTGGCCTAGCCAGTCTCCAGATCTCAACCCCATAGAAAATCTTTGGAGGGAGTTGAAAGTTCGTGTTGCCCAGCGACAGCCCCAAAACATCACTGCTCTAGAGGATATCTTTATGGAGGAATGGGCCAAAATACCAGCAACAGTGTGTGAAAACCTTGTGAAGACTTACAGAAAACGTTTGACCTGTGTCATTGCCAACAAAGGGTATATAACAAAGTATTGAGAAACTTTTGTTATTGACCAAATACTTATTTTCCACCATAATTTGCAAATAAATTCATTAAAAATCCTACAATGTGATTTTCTGGATTCTTTTTTCTCATTTTGTCTGTCATAGTTCACGTGTACCTATGATGAAAATTACAGGCCTCTCTCATCTTTTTAAGTGGGAGAACTTGCACAATTGGTGGCTGACTAAATACTTTTTTTCCCCACTGTATATTTAGTTATAAATTAGCCTAAGCAGCGAATAATGTGTTTTTAGTCTAAAGTTAGCTGTGAAGTACTTAAAATGATTCTATTTTATTTATTTTAGATTTAGCCTTCTCTTTCATTGGTCTCCTTCTTCTCCTTTCCTACCCCAGGCCTCTTCCCCTGTTCTTTCTGTTTATCAGTCAGTCTGGTACAGGCTGGCAGCAGGACTAGGGCCTTACTTTGGTTCTCACACCTTATCTCAGTTTTACCCACGCGTCCTCGACTCCTCTCTTGGTTTCAATCATCGTTCTTCGGTTGGTGTCGTTCATGTGAGGTTTGCCAACTTCCTCTTCTGAGTGACAGAGGTGATGAGCACCGTTCAAATAAAGAGAAGGGTGTCACTTCTTAATCTGACCCCTGACCTTGTTCTCCTCTGCCATGCTCCACCCTTCCTCTTTCTAGCTTTCTTTCTCTCATTTTGTACCCCATTACTCCTCTCTCGCTCTCTCTCTCTCTCCTCTCTTCCTCCTCTCCTCCTCCTCTATCCTCCCCTCCTCCTCTTCCTCATCCCTCCTCTCCTCATCCCTCCTGTCCTCCTTTCTCTCTCTCTCTCGTCTTCTCTCTCTTTCGCTCTCTCGATCTCTCGACATGACTCTTGCAGACAGGTTGAACAGGAAATGGCTCTGATCGTTTCCTGAGGAAATTACACCCACTTCCTGTCTGTGTGCCTCCCGCTCCTTTTCTACTCAGGCGCCTCTGGGGACACCCCTTCGGAGCCCGGCCGGGGCCGTAGGACCCCAGAGAATCCCTGACTCATTCAGTGTAATGAAGCCCAGCCTGATGAGAAGGCCAGATAAAAAGAGCACAAACACAGCTAGCTGCCATTAGGGCTCTGCTCTATTTCAGGGCCATGCTGTCATAGTGGCACAGGGGACGGGACACAGACTATTGTGTGGGACCGGGTGTTTGGGGTGAAGAGAGACCTAAGCTGACACAATGAATGGACGTTTGGTACATAGAAATGCACCTACTTTATATTTTCAGATGGGATGAAAGACTGGCTTCTATGATTGATAGATACTGTAGAACCCCTCACTCTCTTGGTTGCTTTTATTTGTACAGTACTATATGACTCTCACCAGTCACATAAGGGTCTGTTTTAGGCTTAATCCCTCTAAAGTGTTGTGCCAGTTGGCTCTGGTTGGCATTATCTGAACTCCAGCGGTCTGTGATGCTCTACTCTTAGTGGGCATTGGCTGGCACCATACCACTAGAATGTATATGTTCTATTCTGATTCTGACTGCCTGACACAAACTGCTCTGACTGACAGTCACTGTAATGTGACTGTCATTGAAGAAGCTTGATTGACATGTATCAGCCTCTCCCACTGTGGTATGGACAGTGAAGAAGATCACAGTGGGGTGAGGTCATCGTTTGGCCCCTTAGTGTCCTGCGTTATTATTGGTTGTGTAAATGGTGACGCGCTGGGTGGTTGTTTATTCAAACGGTTACACAATGGGGATTGGGGTCTTGTTGTTAGAGCTGGTGTAACAGTGACTCAGTGGTTATTAATACAACTCTCTCACACTGACCTGCCTGGTGGAACTATGAAACAATTACTTGTTGAATAACCATAATATTCATTTGTTTCAAGTGAAAAGGGAGATAAGAGTTGTAACAGGTCCTTTATAATACAGACACACACACAAGCCCCTGCACATTAACACACAGAAACACTCATGTACAGAGGCACGTACGCTCGATAGCTATCAATAGATTGATGCCAGCTGACACCTAGCTAATTATTGTTGGAATGTGACAAGAGGAAAGGAGGTGGAGGAGAGGGGAGGAGGTGGAGGGGAGAAGAGGAGGTGGAGGGGAGAGGAGAGGAGGTGGAGGGGAGAAGAGGTGGAGGAGAGGGGAGGAGGTGGGGTGGAGGGCAGGGGAGGAGAGGAAGTGGGGGGGAGGAGTAGCACAGCTGCCTCCTCAGCAGCTCCAGGGCGCTCCTGCTCTTCTGGGCCACGTCCCAATAATGGCCCAAATCAACTTCCTCACCTTGTCTCCTTTCCTCACCAAGTCACGTCCCAATAGTCTTGTAGTAGTTTCTCTCCTTGTCTCCTTTCCTCACTGTCAGAACGGCCCCATCCAGCCCTTTCAGGTATCGGGACGAGAAGGGAAGGAGACGAGAAGGGAAGGAGACACGTGTAGTCTGGCGCCATGCTGTGGAATGTTCAATATGTCAGGAGAGGAGAGTAAAGGGGACACTCCCACACAGACCCTCCTCAGATTTAGGCTAGCTATAGTATCCCAACACTGTCTGTAACAGCAAACTCCCCCTGTCTGCACTGGAGTGGGGGATACTACTTAATGTGACAGCATTTCATAGTTCCACCAGGCAGCAGTACGCACCTTCATCCACTGTGGTAGCCATGGTGATGTAACCGTACGATTGGGTAAATGATGGGCTACTGCAGCAGTGTTACTTTACTTTACTTGTCACCTCGTCCCCAGGCTAATTGCGCATAGCATTTGGCAGAAGTGTCTGGTGAAAAAGATTACTCTAAGTGCAGCCAGGGCATTGGTTGATTCAGGCTACTAACAGCGGTGGTCGGTATGTGTGGTGCCGAGGGGAAGGTTTACCAACTGGTGTGTGGGATTATTGCACCTTACTCTATGTGCATGTTTGTGCATTCCACTCAGTTCCCTGGTTTACTTACCTCTACACATGACCGTGAATGACCACATTTTCTCTCCTCCTCCAACTCAATTTTTCCATCTCTCTCCTTCTTGACCTCTAAAGCCTCTTTGAACTCATACCAGCAACACCACTTCCCCTTACAAGACAATGTGCCATTTCAGTCTCTGTCACTTACCTAACCTCACTCTCAAACCGAACACACATTTGCTACTATCTCGGCTCACGTCATCTAGATACGCTGTACTCTTTCTACAAAAAAAAACGAGTTTACACTTTCACAGGCCCACACCCACCTGCCCACATCCTCACTCATACACAGACATTTAAAGATCTTCTCAGTAGTGATTTGACTTGGGGCTGGACAATGGTGATGGTGTCACTGTGTCAGAGTGTTCACTGGTGGCTTCTAGGAGCCTGACTAACTATGGCCTCGAGGATGAATGCAGGGCGGGGGTCCACTCCTGTGACTTAAGGGCAATTCCATCTCTCTCAGTTGTATTACAAACAATTCCTAGTCCCTACCCCTTCTGTGTTTGGAGATCTGAAGTGGTGTTGGATATGTGTAAGCAATTTGGCTCTACCTTCGAATTGGGTTTAGGTTCTGCGCTTCTGCCAGATTGCTTAGACTACATCTATTCCATTCCTACAGTCTACAGATCAGCAAATACTGAAGGTGTAACCTAGGGTCTAGGGGTAGAGTCCAAGGGATGGGGTTGGGGGTTGTTTCTGGACAGAGTTCTCATGGGGACCCATCTCCCTCAGGGCATTATTGGCTCAGGCTTGATTAAACTTTGTTGAATGCTCAGCTGTAAACTGGGTTTTGGCAAGCCATGTCCAACTGTTTCCCTTGGGTTAAAATATGTATCCCTCTCTCTAACTCCCTCCAAGCCACAATCCCAAATCTAAATGTTTCAGAGGAGCCTGGAGGAAGAGGAATTTGTGATTTGCAGAAAGCACCTTGATTCTATTTAATTAGTCAAACACTCCTTGATTTTAATGGTGCTAGATATTTAGCCATTCTCCAAAAATTGATTGGAGAATTCAAATTGGCCCCTTTATTTTCTTGCAGTCAATTGCGTCAGTAATGACCTGTCGTGATAAGCAAGCAAAGGCCCTAACCATAATAGACCCCCTCCCTAACCATAATAGACCCCCTCCCTAACCAGAGTAGACCCCTTCACTAACCAGAGTAGACCCCCTCCCTAGCCATAATAGACCCCCTCCCTAACCAGAGTAGACCCCTTCACTAACCAGAGTAGACCCCACTCCCTAATCATAATAGACCCCCTCCCTAATCATAATAGACCCCCTCCTTAACCAGAGTAGACCCCCTCCTTAACCAGAGTAGACCCCCTCCTTAACCAGAGTAGACCCCCTCCTTAACCAGAGTAGACCCCCTCCCTAACCAGAGTAGACCCCCTCCCTAACCAGAGTAGACCCCCTCCCTAACCAGAGTAGACCCACTCCCTAACCATAATAGACCCCCTCCCTAACCAGAGTAGACCCCCTCCCTAACCAGAGTAGACCCCCTCCCTAACCAGAGTAGACCCCCTCCCTAACCATAATAGACCCCCTCCCTAACCAGAGTAGACCCCCTCCTTAACCAGAGTAGACCCCCTCCTTAACCAGAGTAGACCCCCTCCCTAACCAGAGTAGACCCCTTCACTAACCAGAGTAGACCCCTTCACTAACCAGAGTAGACCCCTTCACTAACCAGAGTAGACCCACTCCCTAACCAGAATAGACCCCCTCCCTAACCATAATAGACCCCCTCCCTAACCAGTGTAGACCCCCTCCCTAACCAGAGTAGACCCCCTCCCTAACCAGAGTAGACCCCCACCCTAACCAGAGTAGACCCCCTCCCTAACCATAATAGACCCCCTCCCTAACCAGAGTAGACCCCTTCACTAACCAGAGTAGACCCCCTCCCTAACCAGAATAGACCCCCTCCCTAACCAGAGTAGACCCCCTCCCTAACCAGAGTAGACCCCCTCCCTAACCAGAGTAGACCCCCTCCCTAACCAGAGTAGACCCCCTCCTTAACCAGAGTAGACCCCTCCTTAACCAGAGTAGACCCCTTCACTAACCAGAGTAGACCCCCTCCTTAACCAGAGTAGACCCCTTCACTAACCAGAGTAGACCCCCTCCTTAACCAGAGTAGACCCCACTCCCTAACCAGAGTAGACCCCCTCCTTAACCAGAGTAGACCCCCTCCTTAACCAGAGTAGACCCCCTCCCTAACCAGAGTAGACCCCCTCCTTAACCAGAGTAGACCCCCTCCTTAACCAGAGTAGACCCCCTCCTTAACCAGAGTAGACCCCCTCCTTAACCAGAGTAGACCCCCTCCTTAACCAGAGTAGACCCCTTCACTAACCAGAGTAGACCCCCTCCTTAACCAGAGTAGACCCCCTCCTTAACCAGAGTAGACCCCTTCACTAACCAGAGTAGACCCCCTCCTTAACCAGAGTAGACCCCTTCACTAACCAGAGTAGACCCCCTCCTTAACCAGAGTAGACCCCCTCCTTAACCAGAGTAGACCCCCTCCTTAACCAGAGTAGACCCCCTCCCTAACCAGAGTAGACCCCCTCCCTAACCAGAGTAGACCCCCTCCTTAACCAGAGTAGACCCACTCCCTAACCATAATAGACCCCCTCCCTAACCAGAGTAGACCCCCTCCCTAACCAGAGTAGACCCCCTCCCTAACCAGAGTAGACCCCCTCCCTAACCAGAGTAGACCCCCTCCCTAACCATAATAGACCCCCTCCCTAACCAGAGTAGACCCCCTCCTTAACCAGAGTAGACCCCCTCCTTAACCAGAGTAGACCCCCTCCCTAACCAGAGTAGACCCCTTCACTAACCAGAGTAGACCCCTTCACTAACCAGAGTAGACCCCTTCACTAACCAGAGTAGACCCACTCCCTAACCAGAATAGACCCCCTCCCTAACCATAATAGACCCCCTCCCTAACCAGTGTAGACCCCCTCCCTAACCAGAGTAGACCCCCTCCCTAACCAGAGTAGACCCCCACCCTAACCAGAGTAGACCCCCTCCCTAACCATAATAGACCCCCTCCCTAACCAGAGTAGACCCCTTCACTAACCAGAGTAGACCCCCTCCCTAATCAGAATAGACCCCCTCCCTAACCAGAGTAGACCCCCTCCCTAACCAGAGTAGACCCCCTCCCTAACCAGAGTAGACCCCCTCCCTAACCAGAGTAGACCCCCTCCCTAACCAGAGTAGACCCCCTCCTTAACCAGAGTAGACCCCTCCTTAACCAGAATAGACCCCTTCACTAACCAGAGTAGACCCCCTCCTTAACCAGAGTAGACCCCTTCACTAACCAGAGTAGACCCCCTCCTTAACCAGAGTAGACCCCACTCCCTAACCAGAGTAGACCCCCTCCTTAACCAGAGTAGACCCCCTCCTTAACCAGAGTAGACCCCCTCCCTAACCAGAGTAGACCCCCTCCTTAACCAGAGTAGACCCCCTCCTTAACCAGAGTAGACCCCCTCCTTAACCAGAGTAGACCCCCTCCTTAACCAGAGTAGACCCCTTCACTAACCAGAGTAGACCCCCTCCTTAACCAGAGTAGACCCCCTCCTTAACCAGAGTAGACCCCTTCACTAACCAGAGTAGACCCCCTCCTTAACCAGAGTAGACCCCCTCCTTAACCAGAGTAGACCCCCTCCTTAACCAGAGTAGACCCCCTCCTTAACCAGAGTAGACCCCTTCACTAACCAGAGTAGACCCCCTCCTTAACCAGAGTAGACCCCTTCACTAACCAGAGTAGACCCCCTCCCTAATCAGAATAGACCCCCTCCCTAACCAGAGTAGACCCCCTCCTTAACCAGAGTAGACCCCCTCCTTAACCAGAGTAGACCCCTTCACTAACCAGAGTAGACCCCCTCCTTAACCAGAGTAGACCCCTTCACTAAGCAGAGTAGACCCCCTCCTTAACCAGAGTAGACCCCACTCCCTAACCAGAGTAGACCCCCTCCTTAACCAGAGTAGACCCCCTCCTTAACCAGAGTAGACCCCCTCCCTAACCAGAGTAGACCCCCTCCCTAACCAGAGTAGACCCCCTCCTTAACCAGAGTAGACCCCCTCCTTAACCAGAGTAGACCCCCTCCTTAACCAGAGTAGACCCCTTCACTAACCAGAGTAGACCCCCTCCTTAACCAGAGTAGACCCCCTCCTTAACCAGAGTAGACCCCTTCACTAACCAGAGTAGACCCCCTCCTTAACCAGAGTAGACCCCTTCACTAACCAGAGTAGACCTCCTCCTTAACCAGAGTAGACCCCCTCCTTAACCAGAGTAGACCCCCTCCTTAACCAGAGTAGACCCCCTCCTTAACCAGAGTAGACCCCCTCCTTAACCAGAGTAGACCCCTTCACTAACCAGAGTAGACCCAAAACTAATCTCTTACGAACAGAGTGGACTAAGTTTTCTAGACTTTATCCTTTGCTAAAGTTACAAAAAATTGCTTTGTTTAGAATGAGTGCAAAGGTGAATTGAGTAATTGCGCACACACACACTTCAGAGTAGTCATTCCGTAACGGAAATATGCAAATTTATGCTAGAACACGCCAATAGGATCTCGCTAGCTTGTGCTTGGCTCTGCCCACCTCCTTGCTTGTTCTACCCACTATGACTCATTTGTTTCCATTTGAAATGGCAGGCTGTGGTCTATCTTGGTTTAGTTATAAATATATTTGCTACACCACCGCCACACACCAGTCGTTACTATGACAACTAGCTTGGCCATGTTAGCTAATGACTGCTGTCTGAACACATCTGATTTGGTCACTTGTAACTTGCTATTTCGACAGTCAGTATTCTAAAACGGATTTGAAAAATAGAACTGATTTGAGCATTAAGGTCCGCAGTGTGAACAAGGCTTTAGTAGTGTGATTAAGGGGTCCTATAGGCTAGCCCAGGGGTCGGCAACCCTGTTCCTGGCGTGCTGCAGATACTGCAGGATTTTGTCCCAACTAGGCACCACACCTGACCAGCTGAGCTCATTGATCAGTTCAGTGATTGCCTAAAATCAACACACCTGGTCTTCCAGGTCAGTTAAACCAAAAACATGAAGGGCCTGCAGCACTCCAGGACCAGGGTTGCCTACCCCTGGGGTAGCCTATATATGTTTCCTCGATCATCTTCTTGACTGTAAGTGTGTGTGTGTGTGTGTGTGTGTGTGTGTGTGTGTGTGTGTGTGTGTGTGTGTGTGTGTGTGTGTGTGTGTGGTGAGTGAGGCCTGAGGTCGGTGTGGGTTGACTTTTGTAGTGTCACTCAGCAGGTTGTGGTGGTGTCAGATGGGTTAATGTCCTCTCTCTCTTCTTTCTGTCTCCTCATGTTGCCAAAAATCCATATTGCAATAAATTGCCTGAATTGATGCGATAACAATAAATATAACTATACGTTTATAACATTAATGTGCACCACAGTTATTGTCATAAGTCATTTAAACTACTACTACTAGTTTGATGGTTATAGCCATCAATTGTCCCATAAACAGTCACCCATATTAGCAAACTTATTTCATTTCAAACTTCACATTTCTCTAGTATAGGCTACTTATTGTAATGAACGATATCAGCAAAATGCCGGCGATAAGTGATCGGTCTGGTCGGTGTCGTTCATTTTCGGTTTATTGTCCCAGATCTACTCTGTCTCTAGCGGGGAGCGTTTGGGGCTCAGTGGTTTAACCCAGCCATGAGCATCATCGGAGCTGAGGATGAAGACTTTGAGAATGATCTGGAACCTGTGAGTAACTCCCTAATGACAATTAACTGTACTGAACAATAGACTCACTAATGGATTAATGATCATATCTGTTCTGACCTTTCTCTCTGTCCCTCTCACACTCCATTCTCTACCCTTCTCGTCATTCCCTGTCCAGCAATGTCCTCTATCTAATCACTCCTTCACTCTGTACTGTCTCCTCCTTCCATCCTCTTTTCCCTCACCTCTCCCTCAATATATCTACTGTTTTCTAATCTGCCCCCTCTTTCTCTGTCCATCCCAGATGGTGGATGACCACAGCAGTCACTTCACCAGTATAGAGCTAGTGAAGGGCAGGCCAACCCACCTGCTGGTCTTCCTTCAGCACGTCATCCTGCAGTTCGACTGCTCCTCCCTGGTGAGAACTACAGACCCCCGAATGCACCTGGAGAGGACCGGGGGCAGTGTCTGTGTGATGAGTGTGTGTGTATGTGTGTGTGTGTGTATCGTCTGGTGTGTGTGTGTGTATCGTCTAGTGTGTGTGTGTGTATCGTCTAGTGTGTGTGTGTGTGTGTATCGTCTAGTGTGTGTGTGTGTGTGTGTATCGTCTGGTGTGTGTTTGGGTGTTTATGTACTTAGTGAGTGATGAGTGTCTGCTCCATGTGTTGCTGTGTATCTCCAGTGATATTAAGCATGCCTGTCTCTCCCTTTATTCTGCATGCAGACACTGTGATCCACCCAGGTACTGTTACCCCCACAGCCCAGACAGCCTCCCTCTCCTCAACCCTCTCCCAACCCCCCTACTTTCCCATGCCTGTCCCTGTAGCTAGCGATGCACCTGTATTTTAATACACACCAGACTATCTGTCCTCCAGAGTGTCACAATGTGCTGTAGAAAGTCTGCATACGGCTGCATAAATTACCTCCTTAATAGTGTTATAGAAAATGGTCAAGTTTGTGTGTGGTACTCACATCTTCTAGCTTCCTTCCTCATTTTTCTCTCTATTTTTCTCTCTCTCTCTCTCTCCCTCCCTCCCTCTCTCAGTTGTGTTACCTCCATGCTGACCTCTTCAAGAACCTCAGTACCAAAGAGACCAAGAAGCATTTTGTGGATTTCTACAACAGCTTCCTGGACAAGGGCGCTGTAAGTGCAAGAAACACAGGGAGCTAAGAAGCGATTGTAGAGCCCAGAGCCAGAATGGCACCTCACTGTTCTGTACCGTACTTAGTACCTGTTCTGTACCGTGCATCTTCTTGCTACTGGCCGTTTGTCCGGTTGTACCCTCTGTACCCCTTTTTTATAGGGCAACGCTCTTCCTCTCGCCCTGTGTGTGTGTCTTTCTCTCTCTCTCTCTCTCTCTCGCTCTCCCTCTCGGACACTCACACTCACATTGCAAGCTATGCTCATCTGACCAGAGTCTCTCTCCTCTTCTCTTTCTCTCTTTCTCCCTCCCCTCTCTCTCTTTCTCTCTCTCTCTCTTTGTCCCTCTACTCAGTGTGTGTCACACTTTCTCCGTCTGACCCACTACTTCCTGTTTAGGTCGTGGGAATGACCTTTGGGAAGAATCACTTTTTCTGTTGCTCTTTTTCTGTTTTACACTCACTCTATTCTAAAAGGATACGTTTAGTGAAAGTTCATTGGAACATTCAGAGGTAGAGAGAGACTCATGGAGTAGAAATTGTACTTCTGTTTTCTCATTTTCCTCTTGCCTGCATTTATTTTTGTATTGGTATTCAAGTGTCATCTGGTGGTGAATGTGGTGTACTGCAGTGTTTGAGATTTCTATACAAATTGTGTCATGGAAGTCAGTGTGAAACATATTATCATTATGTCAAATAAAAAATGTCTCTCCCTCCTTCTCTTCAACCCACACAGATTCTCAGAGTACAAGTCCCTCACAATGTATCGTTTGAGTTGGGTAAGCCCTTCTACAATCGTTATTTTAGGATTTTAGATCATGCAGCCGTCATACTGCTATTCCATCACTGATCTACTCAGCATTATCTGGATAAAGCATTGTGTGTATGTAATCTCTCTCTCTGTCTCAGACCGTACCAGACCAGACCTGCTCAGTGAGGAGCAGCAGAAGAAGTTTGTCCAGGATGTCCAGTTGGCTCAAGTCCCAGAGGTGCTGCGACAGCTGGAAGACTTCAGGTGACACATCCCTGGGAACACCAACACCCATAGAACATCCACATCCACACACCCACATCCATAGAACCAGCAGTGACCTGGTTAAAAATCAGCCATATCTATGGAACCAGTGAAACAGCACCTACAGTGCCTTGCAAAAGTATTCATCCCCATTGGCGTTTTTCCTATTTTGTTACATTACAACCTGTAATTTAAATGGATTTCTATTTGGATTTCATGTAATGGACATACATAAAATAGTGCAAATTGGTGAAGTGAAATGAAAAAAAATAATATTTTCAAAACATTCTAAGAAATAAGTAACGGAAAAGTGGTGCGTGCATATGTATTCACCCCCTTTGCTATGAAGCCCCTAAATAAGATCTGGTGCAACCAATTACCTTCAGAAGTCACATATTTAGTTAAATAAAGTCCACCTGTGTGCAATCTAAGTGTCACATGATCTGTCACATGATCTCAGTATATATACACCTATTCTGAAAGGCCCCAGAGTCTGCAACACCACTAAGCAAGGGGCACCAACAAGCAAGCGGCACCATGAAGACCAAGGAGCTCTCCAAACAGGTCAGGGACAAAGTTGTGGAGAAGTACAGATCAGGGTTGGGTTATAAAAAAATATCCGAAACTTTGAACATCCCACGGAGCAGCATTAAATCCATTTATTAAAAAATTGAAAGAATATGGCACCACAACAAACCTGCCAAGAGCGGGCCGCCCACCAAAACTCACGGACCAGGCAAGGAGGGCATTAATCAGAGAGGCAACAAAGAGACCAAAGATAACCCAGAAGGAGCTGCAAAGCTCCACAGCGGAGATTGGAGTATCTGTCCATAGGACCACTTTAAGCCGTACACTCCACAGAGCTGGGCTTTACGGAAGAGTGGCCAGAAAAAAGCCATTGCTTAAAGAAAAAAATAAGCAAACATGATTGGTGTTCGCCAAAAGGCATGTGGGAGACTCCCCAAACATATGGAAGAAGGTACTCTGGTCAGATGAGACTAAAATTGAGCTTTTTGGCCATCAAGGAAAATGCTATGTCTGGCGCAAACCCAACACCTCTCATCACCCCGAGAACACCATCCCCACAATGAAGCATGGTTGTGGCAGCATCATGCTGTGGGGATGTTTTTCATCGGCAGGGACTGGGAAATTGGTCAGAATTGAAGGAATGATGGATGGTGCTAAATACAGGAAAATTCTTGAGGGGAAACCTGTTTCTGTCTTCCAGAGATTTGAGACTGGGACGGAGGTTCACCTTCCAGCAGGACAATGACCCTAAGCATACTGCTAATGCAACACTCAAGTGGTTTAAGGGGAAACATTTAAATGTCTTGGAATGGCCTAGTCAAAGCCCAGACCTCAATCCAATTGAGAATCTGTGGTATGACTTAAAGATTGCTGTACACCAGCTGAACCCATCCAATTTGAAGGAGCTGGAGCAGTTTTGCCTTGAAGAATGGGCAAAAATCCCAGTGGCTAGATGTGCCAAGCTTATAGAGACATACCCCAAGAGACTTGCAGCTGTAATTGCTGCAAAAAATTGAATAGTTATGCACGCTCAAGTTTTCTGTTTCTTTGTGTTATTTCTTGTTTGTTTCATAAGAAAAAAATATTTTGCATCTTCAAAGTGGTAGGCATGTTGTGTAAATCAAATGATACAACCCCCCCAAAAATCGATTCCAAAATAGGAAAAATAACAAGGGGGGTGAATACTTTCGCAAGCCACTGTACCACAAGCCTACAGTGCCAAAGCAGAGACCTAGGGTTCCCCGGAGCCAACAGACCCAATGGTCAAGATAGGAGCCGTGTTCTCGAGGCAAGCGTCCAAATTCAGATCCCAGTCCTTCTGGCAGCAGTTCCAGGCAGCAACTTCCAAGCAACCAGCCCCGCACCTTCAACAAAATAGGAAAGATGCCAAGGGGGGTGAATACTTTCACAAGCCACTGTATTGACTCACCAGTGATAACATTGGGTTCAAATAGTGTCTGCCCTAAACACATTCTCTTGTTGCTCCCCATGCACATGTTTGTACCAATTAGCCCTCAGCGATAGATGTCAGACTAATGACAGTTATATAGTGTGATATGTAAATACTTAAAGGGCTACTTCCTGCTGTGCCCCCCTCTCAGGCAGAAGAGGATGATGGGTATGACCCCTAACGCGGCAGAGCTGATGGAGGTGGAGTCTCACTACCCCACCGATCGTATCCCCATGGAGATGAAGGAGAAGGCCGTGGCAGAGACCCTGCTGGACAAGATGTCTGAGATCCAGTGAGTAGACGGCTAGGGTGGATTATTGACTTTAATAATGCAGTGCTACATGGCATGTAGCTTTTATGTAACTTAATAGATAAGGGTACAGTCTAATTAGCTAAGTTAAACCTCCCGTAGCTTCGTTTGGGGGCAAGTTTCATTTGAATTCAATTAAATACTGTATAGTATCATCATGACATCACGGGCCTCTAGTGATACATCACAGTTCCAGTCCCTCAGCGGACATTTCTAGAATATGGTACATAAATACACACACTGACAAACCAGTTCAACACACAGAGACCACTATGGAGATAGATAGATAGATAGATGGATGATTAAAGAGGAGGAGGAGAGAAGAGGAGGTTAGTGGGGAGAAAAGAAAGAGGGAGAGCAGTGATTGGAACAGAGGGGTGAAAGGGAGAAGGATCGAGTCAGCAGTGCCACGTTGGCCGGAAGGCTGTCCCCTGGCATGCTGCCAACAGGAGGGAGGGGGAGGATGGAGGGAGGGGGAGTAGGGGCAGTGCAGTATTATTGATGCAGTCCGGCTGCCGGACACAGAGGGGGAAGTAGGGGGAAGTTCATCTACCTCTGACCAAGTGGCCAGACACAATTAACAATGGAACAAGTGAATGAGACAGAGGGGGAAAGGAGGACAGCAGGAGGCTAACTCTTTAACCTGCAGTGCGAAGAGAGAGGATGGAAGAGTGATTATAAGAGAGAGACCAACAAAGGGAAAAGGGATATGCCCAATGCATAAGTCCCTTTTCTCTGGTTACTACTGTATTGTCAGTGGAGGAAGTATGAAAAGCTTGTCGGCAGGCAGTGTCAAACACATCATAAAGCAGCTTCCCACCGGCCCTGTTACTGACTCACAATCAACTCTCTCTGTCTCCTAACAACAAAATAGTTATTCATTTATTCTGTCCATTTAGATTCACTTACACAATCCTCTCCTTCTTCCTCAAACCTCTGCTCTCCTCCACAATCCCACACTCTCCCTCGTTCAGCCGCTCCCCCACTCTCCCCCTCTCTCTGCCACAACATGGTGACCTCACCTCCTCTGCCTCCCATTGGTCAGTCTGACAGTGGAATGGAGGGATGGGGCGTCCTGATTGGCTTGGCTTGGGGAATCCCAGGGAAACCCCTCCCCTCCCTTTATGTTAATAGAAAAGAAAAACCGTGGGATCTTATTTCCATATTCTTGCCTGCTTGTTGCATCAGACTAAAACACAGTTAAATAGTCATTTCCGCTGTCCTGGAGCATTGTTAGATGTTTCCACTCACCCTGCAGACAACTCCCAGAGAGCAGCTGTGCCTTGACTTTAGACTTATCTTTTGCAGATAGTTAGAGCTAAAACCTTGCCTTGTGCAGAAAAGCATATTGGATAGATTTTTACAGATTCGATTTGTGCAGTATTTTAGTTTAAAAACAATTGTCAATAGTTTCTTGTGCATTGTTTTGGGTGCAGCTTTTAATGCATCTCTCATTGTTTTAAACTTTTAGTTGTATTTTTTTCCCTTTTTTGTTGGAAATATCAGAATATGTTCAATAGCCTCTGCTCTGAACACAATATCACTGTAGTCAGATTTAAGTTGGGAAAAGCTCAGGAAAAGCTTAGTCGCTTCAGATTCCACCGTCCCAAAACAGAGTTAAGAATCGGTCGAGAAAAAGCAAGGGGAAATGCCACTTAATCGACTCTGGCGGTAAGTCTACGGACTTGGCAATGTCTGCACTTATCTTTCTCTCTCTTTATCTCTTTAATATCTATTCATCTCCTCTCTTTCAGTCCCTCCATCGTCGCAGATGAGGAGAAATGGTGAGTGAATGCATCCTAGACATGTTTTGTCCATCTCCCTGCTTAGATTCATTGATGTTTAAAAATCCATACATGCCTTAAATGTATTTTCTCTTCCTCCTCAATTAGTTTGTTTTGCTCTATAGTTGTACGTTGTGCAGGCTTCAGTACTATAGTTGTACGTTGTGCAGAATTCAGTACTATAGTTGTACGTTGTGTAGTCTTCAGTACTATAGTTGTACGTTGTGCAGTCTTCAGTACTATAGTTGTACGTTGTGTAGTCTTCAGTACTATAGTTGTACGTTGTGCAGTCTTCAGTACTATAGTTGTACGTTGTGTAGTCTTCAGTACTATAGTTGTACGTTGTGTAGTCTTCAGTACTATAGTTGTACGTTGTGTAGTCTTCAGTACTATAGTTGTACGTTGTGCAGAATTCAGTACTATAGTTGTACGTTGTGTAGTCTTCAGTACTATAGTTGTACGTTGTGCAGTCTTCAGTACTATAGTTGTACGTTGTGTAGTCTTCAGTACTATAGTTGTACGTTGTGCAGTCTTCAGTACTATAGTTGTACGTTGTGTAGTCTTCAGTACTATAGTTGTACGTTGTGTAGTCTTCAGTACTATAGTTGTACGTTGTGTAGTCTTCAGTACTATAGTTGTACGTTGTGCAGGCTTCAGTACTATAGTTGTACGTTGTGTAGTCTTCAGCACTATAGTTGTACGTTGTGCAGTCTTCAGTACTATAGTTGTACGTTGTGCAGGCTTCAGTACTATAGTTGTACGTTGTGCAGTCTTCAGCACTATAGTTGTACGTTGTGCAGTCTTCAGCACTATAGTTGTACGTTGTGCAGGCTTCAGTACTATAGTTGTACGTTGTGCAGGCTTCAGTACTATAGTTGTACGTTGTGCAGGCTTCAGTACTATAGTTGTACGTTGTGCAGTCTTCAGCACTATAGTTGTACATTGTGCAGAATTCAGTACTATAGTTGCATTACTTTGACATAAATGGCATTCTGTAGCTGATGTAGACTGACTTGGTTTATGGTCTTGCCTCAGTTTGAGAAGCTCTTGCATTTTCCCTCTCAAGCTCCTCCTCTTTCTCCTCCTCCTCCTCTCTGGTAAACTTCCAACTCTCCACCTAGTATCACCCCATCCTTTCTCCATCCTTTCTCATATTCCAACCCAAACCCTTTTCTCATCTCAATCCCACCCCTACTCTCCCTCTTTCACACTTTTTATTTTTATTTACAGCTCATGCTTTAGCATCCTTTATAATAGTTTATCATTACTGTTTATTTCTATTGCAATGTCAATATATATGCATTTATACAGTATGTACTTTCATCACCACTAACTTTACAGAGATCGCTCTCTCTCTCTCTCCCTCTCTCTCGTCCTCCAGTTCGTCCATCTTTGCAGCAGTGGCCTTCTACATGAAGCACCTAGGAGTGAAGTCCAGAGTATCTGACAGTAAGAAGTCCAGAGGCTTCTTCAGGAGACCCCTTGGGAAGGTGAGACTGTCTGTTGGTTTGCAGCTAGCTGGACTCCACGGTCCACGGTCCATACCACACACCAACCTATCCAGTATTATTGGACTGTTCTTGTCATAATGCGCTCTCTCTTTTTCTCTCTCCGTCCATCTCCCTTTCAGAGTAAGAAGAGTGAGGAGTCCACTAAATCCAAACAGAAGGGGGGTTTTCCCAACATCCTCAGCGCCGCTGGTGGCTGGATTGCTGGCAGCAGTACGTACCAGCAGTGTCATAATATGAGATGAGATTGTACTTTATCAATACCCAAGGGGAAATTAGTTTGTCTTCATTACATAGTTAAAAAAACAATACAAATACTTACAATAAATACATACTGTATACACTACTAAATACATATGCATACTGAAGGTACAGAGAAACAGAATGGATGACATAGTAAAAGCTATGTCAGGTGTTTGATTATCGATCGCCATCCAAAAGTGGGTCTACCAGAATGACCATAGTGCCTGTATAAGCCAAAGTCATTGTAGAATTAAAAAGAACCCGTTGTCTTGCCCTGTGTTCTTCTTTCAGCTGAGGTCAAACTTCCTAAAGTGGAGGCTGAAGGTACCACCGTCTGGCTCTTGCATCTCCTCTTCCCCACCCCTTTATCTCTAGAATGGTCTAGTCCTTACTAATCAACCCCAATGCATGCATGCATGTTTGCATGTACCAAATCAAACCTGGAAGGGGATCCGAGGGGAATGCCAAGTTTTTGATTTGTTGACTTGCTTTTTTGCCTGTAGGTGTAGATTCTGTGGCATGATCTGTAATCACTGGTGTTTTGATAGATGGACTGACCACACACACATACACACACACTAGAGCAGAGACGATAAAACCGATTTTGCTAAACAACGTTCCTGTAGATGGTTCTAAAACCATTATATGGTCAACAGTAACAGCCTATGCATTATGTTGTGTCCTGCAGAAATTGTGACGTTTGGTGCAACTTTGAAATTTGACGTTTGGAGAAACGCGGATAAACATCAGAATCTGATGCCAAATTGGTAAAACCGTGAGATCTTGTTGTACATCAAGTAGCCCAGGCCTAGCGCTGGAAAGTTTTTGTAGGACATTAGCCTACATTTACTGATAGATTAATAAATTAGCCTACATGGCTATAGCAACAATATCACTAGTTAAGTGTTTTGAGTTCCCACTTCCTCATGTGGTGAATAATATAGCCTATAGGCCAATATGCACAAAGAGGTCGACAAATTCTCTGAAGAGCCAGAAATAAATCTGATAATACTGGATCTTATTTTGACAGGTTGCACATCAAAATATAAATCATGCATTTCCTGGATATGTTAGATGAAACAGCTTACTTTTTAAATATTAGGCTACCATCTCAGTTGACTTACTTGGCACTGGAAAAAAATTGTCTAGAGCCCTGCCGATAATGTAAAGTAACCTAACTGCCCCTTTAAAACGTTTTGTTTTATAGATGTAGGCTATTTATTGTTATCGAGCAAAATAGTTAGATTTATCACGATATCACTTTTTGTCCATCTTGCCCAGCTCTAGCACCTCCCCCAAACATGATTTATCATTATCAAAAAAAGGGGTCAATTTATCACCCTATGGATTTTTGTCCATCTCTCCCAGCTCTCACACACACGCACATACACACACAAACACACACGGTCAGTCTGTCGTAGGGTTGTGAACGTAGGTGCTAAACTGTCCCAACCCTGAGAATGATTAACCCACCTCTCTCACCACAGATCCACTGATTGCCCTATACTCATCCTGTCTGTCTGTCTCTGTCTGTCTGTTTGTCTCACAATCTCATGGTGTCTCTCATAGAAATGCCTCTGACTGTTTTGACTCTTTTTTTCCCTTCTCAATGTCATCCCTTTTACCATCTATTTCTCTACCTTCCCTCTCTCTCTCAGTGGATAAAGAGAAGGTGAATCAGGAGCGTAAGGCTTCCAGCGGCCTCGCCCCCTCTCGAGGCTCCTCCGCCCCTGATGCCGCCCCTCCAGCATTAAACAGGAAGTCTGTTTCCACAGGATCCGCCCCCCATCAGGGGTCGGAGGTCAGCGAGGGTTCAGGGGTCCACATCAGTGTGACCTCCAGCCCAGACTTCTCCCACAGCGAGATAGGTAAGGCTGATTGGACGGATACATGGTAGCATAGCAACACCCAACCTAACTAAGGGTGTATTCAGTGAGGTGAATCTGAAATGTGTGTTTTCTTCTCTCCTCTCCCAGGTCTGTTCAACAGCCGTTCGGACCCCCAGTTGGTGGCGGAGGGGGGCGAGGTGTCCCCCGCGGGGCTGGCAGGGGAGCCCCCCTCACCCAATGAACTCCCCCCGGAGGAAAACCTGGACAAAGACAGGTGAGAGAGAGAGGTAGTGAGGGAGAGGGAGAAATAGAGGAAGAGCGAGGTAAAGAGACAGGGTGGGAAGGGGGAGAAAATGGGATAGATAAGATGTATAAGACCAACATAAACCCAACACTATTAGGTATAGTTGAACATAGTCAAACATTTTAAAAAGGTTAGGGGTCAGTGGCCATGCTAAGGCTGAGGGAGCGTGGTAAAACTCCCTCAGTGTCTCCGTCCGTCCCTGCTGTGTACTGTGCTACCTAGCCTACCTACCACACCTTACTGCTGCCATGCCCTGCCCTGCCGGCAGCTCCATGTAGCTAACATCGCTAAGACCCACCCAGCATTTGGAGATGGACCCTTACTGTGGCTACAGGGACCTGGTCTTCCCCTCCAGCCCCCCCCCCCAACCCCATCCTCCTCCCTTCTCCTCTACCCCAAATCTTTTGTTGTGTTTTCTTGTACTCCACTTTCTTTCACTCTTTTTGTGTCCATCATTATTCTTGTTTGTGTTTGCTACTTCCAAAGCACCCACTATGCTGTCTCCTTGTTTGTGCGATGCTGACTCTGCTCAGTTGTTGAGAGCAAGTTGTTAAGTGTACAATAGTTAACATTGTACTGCAGTGTGCCATATCTTCTGTGTGTGTGCAGGCTAGACTCAAGTACCAAAGTTGGGGAAAGCTGTTATAACGTTGTTGTTATGTTGTCTGGGGTTTTGTGTCTGTCTTTTTGAGTTGGCCATTCATTGTGCTATATTTGGTTTGTAGAGCATTGTATCTCTACAGGCTTAAGTGCATTAACTTGGCTTTTACTTTGCTTCAGTCGTGCGGTCCAGCTTTGGATTTGTCTGTTGTCGGCTTTATCCCAGTCCTACTGTAAGTCAAGCAGTGAGGTCTGGTTCGCTTTCATGTCTGTTGTTTGCAGAAGGCATCTGTGTGTGTTGTTTTATGGGGATCTCCTCTGTTCTGTTGTCCAGTCGTCACAGGGCTTCATGTGGTACCATGTTCAGGACAGCAGACTTCTTATGTTTGTGGGCGTGCTTTGCTCTCTGTGGTTTTAACATGCTTTCAGTGCTGTTAGCCTCCGTCCGTGTGCTGCAGCGGTTGATGGGGGAGTTGGAGGTTGTAGAAAGGGTGTGTGTTACTGTTGAGTGGTTGTGGTGGTTATGTAACTGTGGTGTCCCGTGTTTTTACAGACGCAAGACAAGGTGGGTTTCTACATCTCTGCGACAGGGATACGGACACACACTGGGCCTCATTGATAACACACTCCATCCTACATTACTGTACACACACACACACACACACACACACACACACACACACACACACACAGTATCATGTCAGACCAACATACAGCCACAATAATGGAAACATATTATAGAAATTCTCACACACACACACACTCACTGACTGCATAGCTAAGTATTGTTTATCCTGCACCTTGAAGTGAAGTCAGTGGGCTGTGATGTTAGATAACAATAGTCTTCTTGTCAGTGTGTACCATGTGTGAGATTGGAGAGCTGATAAGCCCAAATTTTTGTCATTAACATTGCATAATTGAACGGCCTTGGTACACAGACGCACTGAGATGTTACTAATGACCGTTTTCTTAACTAAATGCAATAGTGTTGAAGTAGATGGGCTTCCAATGTGTTTCTAATAGGGCTCCTGAGTCTATCCATCCATTCTGTCACATCTCTTATGTGCTTCCTTTTGATCCTCTACATTCCTTTGACATCACATTGACTTCCTCTGTAATGGTTCTCCTGCTTGGGTCCATTTTATCCTAATATCTCCCGTCTTCATTGTTGACTCTGTACTCTTTGGTTTGGTCATCTGGTACCATTTCCTTGTTGTTCCTGTACTCCTCACTCCATCTGTCTCTCTACTTCCTCCTTATACCACCTTCCTCCTTGTATTTTCCTGCCCACTTGCTCTCCTCTCGCTCTCCTCTCTTCCTTCCCTCTATGTACTCTCCTCCTCCCTCCCTACCTCCCTCCCCAGGCGTGTGGGACGCAGTGAGAGTGCTCGTGTGGACAGACATTCCTCCCGTCGCCGTGGCTCCTCCCGGGCCAAACAGTCGCGTTCCCGTAGCGACGTGGACCTGCAAGCCGCCGCCGCCACAGCAGCACACTCCTCCCCGACCTCTCCCCACCCCTCGTAAGGCAGACCCCCTACCCCCCTTCTCTCACAGGGGGAGAGAGAGGAGCACAGCCACAGACGGACATAGTCACTGATGGACAGGCAGACTGATTGATTGACTATACTAACTGATGGACAGGCAGGCTGACTGATTGACTATACTAACTGATGGACAGGCAGGCTGACTGATTGACTATACTAACTGATGGACAGGCAGGCTGACTGACTATACTAACTGATGGACAGGCAGGCTGACTGATTGACTATACTAACTGATGGACAGGCAGGCTGACTGACTGACTATAGTAACTGATGGACAGGCAGGCTGACTGATTGACTATACTAACTGATGGACAGGCAGACAGACAGACTCATTGACATTACTGACCAACTAACTTTGCTTTACTGACTGTCTGATGTCTGACTATAAAACCGAAAGACACACCGTTAATCTAGCAGACTGAGTGAGAGTGAATGGAGGGTTCTTACACTGTGTCCCCAGTAGCTTTATTAAGACAGGAAGAGATCAATGCTGAGTGACACATCTAGACTGGAGGAGGAGGGTCAGAGCCAGAGCTAGTGTCTTAGAGTCAGGGCTACAGTACTAACTGTAACTAAGTGCAATGTTAATGCTGTTTGTAGATTATGTAGACTTTGAACCAGCCAATAGCCTACTGTCCCAATCCAAATGCTTCTCAACCCAAGCAGTTTTTCTAGCTTTACGTTAGATGAAGCTTCTCTAGCTTCTCATTCGTTTCATATTATCGCCCCATACCCCTTATACCTCCCCTCTCTCCTCCTCCTCTGTCCTCCTCCTCTCTTCCATCAGTGTTGATGAAGGGGTGTTACTCCTCGAGGGTGCGCTCCCAGGTCTTTCCCTCTCTGGCCCCACCCCCCAGCAGGAGGAACAGGACCCTCGCCTCCTGGAGCTGGAGCAGGACCCGCCCAACTGGAGAGAACATACCCCCCCAGACACCCTCAAAGATCTCAGCAAGAAGGAGACCAAGAGACAGGAGGTCATCAACGGTGAGGAGGGATGGGGGGATGGAGGGATCTAGCCAACGGTGAGGAGGGATGGGGGGATGGAGGGATCCAGCCAACGGTGAGGGGGGATGGGGGGATGGAGGGATCCAGCCAACGGTGAGGAGGGATGGGGGGATGGAGGGATCCAGCCAACGGTGAGGAGGGATGGGGGGATGGAGGGATCCAGCCAACGGTGAGGAGGGATGGGGGGGATGGAGGGATCCAGCCAACGGTGAGGAGGGATGGGGGGATGGAGGGATCCAGCCAACGGTGAGGAGGGATGGGGGGATGGAGGGATCCAGCCAACGGGGAGGAGGGATGGGGGGATGGAGGGATCCAGCCAACGGTGAGGAGGGATGGGGGGGATGGAGGGATCCAGCCAACGGTGAGGAGGGATGGGGGGATGGAGGGATCCAGCCAACGGTGAGGAGGGATGGGGGGATGGAGGGATCCAGCCAACGGTGAGGAGGGATGGGGGGGATGGAGGGATCCAGCCAACGGTGAGGAGGGATGGGGGGGATGGAGGGATCCAGCCAACGGAGGAGGAAAGAAACAATGGTTTAGAAATAATTGCAGTGTAACATTGAGCTGCTGGTCATCTGAAGCAAAATATTGTGAATGAATTGCCACTAGACTAACCCCCCTCTCTCTCCTTTCCTCTCTCTCTCTCTCTCTCAGAGTTGTTTGCGACGGAGCATGCCCACGTGCGCATGCTGAGTGTTCTGCAGACAGTGTTCTGGAAGCCTCTGGAGAGAGAGGAACTCATGACCACCACAGAGCTGGCCACCATCTTCCCCAGCCTGGACGAGATCATAGACATGCACTGTGAGTACGGTCCCACCGCTGCTTGACCGTAGTATGACCGTAACCCCCACAACAGTACGACCGCAATACCCCTGACATACAACCACACATACACAGTATGACCACATTACTGCCGCTGCATGACTGTGACCGTTACCTGACAACAGCACTTCTACAGTTCTGATGCTGGCTGAAGTCAGTCGGACCACTGTAAATTGTAGGACCTCGCGATACGATATTACCACGATACTTAGGTGCCGATACGATATGGATTGCGATTCTCACGATTCTTTATGTATTGCGATTCGATACTGTGATTTTATTGTGATTCCATGTTCCAAACATATTGCTCACCATATGTCTGCTGCAGAGGGACAAGAGAGAGCCATGAGAAAACAAGTTTTGATCAGTCATGGAAATAAAAGTGCTGAAAACAAATTGGCTCCTTATTTAAAAAGAAGACTGAGAACAAGCTATGAAGGGAAAATACTGGAACTTTGGTGCAACTAGCGCAAAAATAATATTGCGATACTGTCAAAATGATACGATATATCTTCCAAAGTTATATCCTGATATATAACTGTATCCATATTTTTCCCTCATCACTAGTAAATTAACCCTAGTGTAACTGTAACTGTAAATTGACCTCAGTCTGACCATAATAACCCAACCGTAAGTCTACCCCAGTCCAACCGCTGTGCTCCCTGTGTGTTTCTGTGCAGATGCTTTCTATGAGCACCTGAAGAAGCTGCGTCAGCACAATTTCATCGTCAAGGCCATCGGAACCACGTTACTCAACAGGGTAAAGAACAGGTCACCTTCCATCACCCCCCTGTCTGTGCCCCTCACCCTCACTCCCCTCTCTCTGTGCCCCTCACCCCATCTCAGCCTAACCCCCTCATCCCTTATTTGAGGTGGATAGTTAGGGAAATGGATCCCTGAAGAAAGCTTTTCATCTCTCCCTCTCTCTCTTCTCTTCTCTTCTCTTCTCTTCTCTTCTCTTCTCTTCTCTTCTCTTCTCTTCTCTTCTCTTCTCTTCTCTTCTCTTCTCTTCTCTTCCTCTTCTCTTCTCTTCTCTTCTCTTCTCTTCTCTTCTCTTCTCTCTTCTCTTCTCTTCTCTTCTCTTCTCTTCTCTTCTCTTCTCTTCTCTTCTCTTCTCTTCTCTTCTCTTCTCTTCTCTTCTCTTTCTCTCCCTCTCTGTCTAGTTTGGAGGGACGGAGGGTGAGTGGTTTCAGAAGCTGACGTCTAGGTTCTGTAGTCACCAGACGTGGGCCCTGGAACAGCTGAAGATCAGACAGAAGAAAGACCCCCGTTTCAACGCCTTCATACTGGAGGCAGAGAGTAGGCCTCAGTGTCGTAGGCTGCAGCTGAAGGACATCATCCCCACTGAGATGCAGAGGCTCACCAAATACCCCCTACTGCTGGAAAACATCGCCAAGTGCACAGGTCTGTGTGTGTCCTTCCCTGCTCTCATTTAGATAAACAGACTATGCACAGGTCTGTGTGTGTCCTTCCCTGCTCTCATTTAGATAAACAGACTATGCACAGGTCTGTGTGTGTCCTTCCCTGCTCTCATTTAGATAAACATACTATGCACAGGTCTGTGTGTGTGTTGTGACATGTGTTGTGTGTATTCCTGTAGAGGACACCTTGGAGAAGGAGAGTATCCAGCAGAGTGCAGAGTGCTGTAGGAAGATCCTCAACCACGTCAACGAGGAGGTCAAACAGATGGAGAACCTGCTGGTGAGATACACACACACACACACACACACACACACACAAACCATCTACTAATATTATTATAAGTGTCTGAGGGAAAGTATAAATGATTTCTCTCTCCCTCCAGACACTGAAAGACTACCAGCGCAGGCTGGACACCTCAGGACTGAAGCCCAGTAACGAGCTGTACCTGGAATACAAGGTGAATGACAATAGTGTGGGCTTGTAGTGTGGTCACTGTCCAGTGCTCTTCATGCTATCCTTTCTACAGGTGTCCTGTTCTCTCATTCTTTATCACTCTCTATCGATCTCTGCTCTCTCAGAACCTTGACCTGGCCCAGAGAAGGATGATCTATGAGGGGCCTCTGACCTGGAGAGTGACCAAGGAGAAAACTTTAGGTGCTGTATCAACTCTACTAACATTAGTTTGTTTATTTATCTACCAATTCAGTCTGTCTGACTTTCATTTTGCACAAACCCAAACTGTTGTTCTTCTAGTATTTACTCCTTTCCTCCCTGCCCCACTCTCCTCCTCTCTCCTCCCCTTCTCAACAACTCCTCTCCCTACTCCTCCCTTCTCTGTTCCTCTCCCCCTCTCAGACGTGCAGTGTGTGTTGCTGGGGGACCTGTTGGTGCTGTTACAGAAGCAGGATGATAAGATGGTGTTGAAGTGTCAGAGTAAAAGTAACATTGCTGTTCAGGAGGGCAAGCAGATGCTCAGCCCTATCATCAAACTAGACTCTGCCTTCCTCCGAGAGGTGGCCACAGGTGAGACACACATTTTAAATACTTATTTTGACTCCACAAATCACATTACAGTCCAGAAGGATTCAAACATTTCAAAAGTCACAGATACATGGACACACATAGCGTCAGAAATGGTGTCAAAGCACCTTCTTCTCCATACAGCTAGGCTACACCAGATTCGCCGACAAAGAGCAGTACCTTGCTAGCTGCTTTGCCTTTTTCCTATGCAGCAGTCTGAAGGCCATGCACTGTCAGCCTATGTACACGGCCCAACGCTGTTCAGGCATGACTCAAGGGGCTGGTATTTCAGAAACTTGACAGCACAGGGTCTGATCCATGTAAGAGTCAAAAGAGCAACACACTTCCAAAATGAGCACCTGTCTCCGGCCTCCCCCCACAACAACAATACCTGCCATATTTGGTATACAAGAAAACACAACATCATCAACATCAAACTGCGCACACACAAACACCTTGCAGGAATATGTCAGCTAAATCCCCCTCTCTTTTCTCTCCGTCTGTCAGATCGTAAGGCCTTCTACGTGATCTTCACCTGGGACAGCGGGGCTCAGATCTACGAACTGGTGGCTCAATCTGTCGGGGAGAGGAAGAAGTGAGTGTGGGAGAGGAGGAGAGAAGGGTTTGGGAAGGGGATTGAGAAGGGAGGGGAGAGGGAGAAGTGAGTGTGGGAGAGGAGAGAGGAGGCGATATGGAAGATATGAAGGTAAAGACAAAGCACCAAGTGTAGTGGTGATGTGGGTTTGTTGTGTGAAGCTGGACAGATGTGATCAAGACGGCGGTAGATGAGCTGAAGAAGAAAGGACCTCCGCCTGACCTGAAGAGAGGAAACAGCATCCTAACTGGAGGAAACCCATACAGCCCCACCACGTGAGTCAACACAGCTCTGAGTGTGTGTGTGCGCTGTTATAAGCCAAATGTCTCCTCTGAGCACTGATCACATTTGACATTTTAGTCATTTAGTAGACACTCTTATCCAGAGTGACTTAAAGGAGCAATTAGGTTTAAGCGCCTTGCTCAAGGGTACATGGACAGATTTTTCACATAGTCAGCTTGGGGATTCGAACCAGCGACCAGTCAGTTACTGGCCCAGCACTCTTAACCGCTAGCCTACCTGCCGCCGATCACATTTCTTTCTCTCCTCTTTCTCGCTTTCTCTTTCTTTCAGGTTTCTTCAACCCCCTCTCAGCCCCACAGAAAATGGAGGAGACTCGTTGAAAAACAGCATTGGTGAGAACAGACAACAAAGCAACTCTTTCAAGCCATTGAGCTTATAGGTGTTGGCAATGTAGTTGTTAATGGTGTTATTACTAATGTTTATTTATTTAGTTTTTACTGTTACTGAATTACTACCAAGACTGTTGCTGTGTCTGTGTCTATAGAAAGAGATAAGGACAGCCTGACTGATGAGATTAAGTCTGTGGACTCTCGTCATTCGCTGATTGATTACCTCTTGGACAAAGGCTTTGACTTGATTGGCCACAGCAACAGCGATCAGGTGAAAGTGGCCAATAGCGCGTTAAACGAAGGTGAGTGGGTTTATTTGATTTGTCCAAGCTGTTACCATTTCATGTTCCTCTTACTGTCATGTCGTAAATCAACTCTTCCTGTCTCCTCCCACAGTCATGTCTCTCAAGAGGCTATTGGTTGGCAGCATCAGCCTATCAGAGGACTTACAGCTTGATGAGGAGAATGGAAGGGAGGGGGCAGAGAGCCAGGACCAAGGACTGGAAGGGGAGGGAGGAGGAGGAGGAGGAGAGAGGAAGGGGGGATCAGTGCTCCCCTGGTTCTGTCCCAGGAGAGGATGGAGGAGGTGCGCCGGAAACTGCAGAGTCTGGAGGTACAGCTGAAGAGACTGCAGGTGAGAGAACGAGGGATGACAGGAAGGAAGGAAGGAAGGAAGGAAGGAAGGAAGGAAGGAAGGAAGGAAGGAAGGAAGGAAGGAAGGAAGGAAGGAAGGAAGGAAGGAAGGAAGGAAGGAAGGAAGGAAGGAAGGAAGGAAGGAGAGATGAGTGGGAGAGGATTGAGTAATGGGGTTGCAAAGGATGACTGAAGCATAAAAGGAGGGAGCCAAGGAGGACAGATGGGGACTAACAGCAGCACAGAAGAGAAAGATACAGTGAGGGAAAGAGGTATTTGATCCCCTGCTGATTTTGTACGTTTGCCCACTGACAAAGACATGATCAGTCTATAATTTTAATGGTAGGTTTATTTGGACAGTGAGAGACAGAATAACAACAAACAAATCCAGAAAAACGCATGTCAAAAATGTTATAAATTGATTTGCATTTAAATAAGGGAAATAAGTATTTGACCCCTCTGCAAAACATGACTTAGTACTTGGTGGCAAAACCCTTGTTGGCAATCACAGAGGTCAGACGTTTCTTGTAGTTGACCACCAGGTTTGCACACATCTCAGGAGGGATTCTGTCCCACTCCTCTTTGCAGATCTTCTCCAAGTCATTAAGGTTTCGAGGCTGACGTTTGGCAACTCGAACCTTCAGCTCCCTCCACAGATTTTCTATGAGATTAAGGTCTGGAGACTGGCTAGGACACTCCAGGACCTTAATGTGCTTCTTCTTGAGCCACTCCTTTGTTGCCTTGGCCGTGTGTTTTGGGTCATTGTCATGCTGGAATACCCATCCACGACCCATTTTCAATGCCCTGGCTGAGGGAAGGAGGTTCTCAACCAAGATTTGACGGTACATGGCCCCGTCCATCGTCCCTTTGATGCGGTGAAGTTGTCCTGTTTCCTTAGCAGAAAAACACCCCCAAAGCATAATGTTTCCACCTCCATGTTTGACGGTGGGGATGGTGTTCTTGAGGTCATAGGCAGCATTCCTCCTCCTCCAAACACGGCGAGTTGAGTTGATGCCAAAGAGCTCGATTTTGGTCTCATCTGACCACAACACTTTCACCCAGTTCTCCTCTGAATCATTCAGATGTTCATTGGCAAACTTCAGACGGCCCTGTATATGTCCTTTCTTGAGCAGGGGGACCTTGCGGGCACTGCAGGATTTCAGTCCTTCACGGCGTAGTGTGTTACCAATTGTTTTCTTGGTAACTATGGTCCCAGCTGCCTTGAGATCATTGACAAGATCCTCCCGTGTAGTTCTGGGCTGATTCCTCACCGTTCTCATGATCATTGTATGGAGCCCCAGGCCGAGGGAGATTGACAGTTATTTTGTGTTTCTTCCATTTGCGAATAATCACACCATCTGTTGTCACCTTCTCACCAAGCTGCTTGGCGATGGTCTTGTATTCCATTCCAGCCTTGTGTAGGTCTACAATCTTGTCCCTGACATCCTTGGAGAGCTCTTTGGTCTTGGCCATGGTGGAGAGTTTGGAATCTGATTGATTGCTTCTGTGGACAGGTGTCTTTTATACAGGTAACAAGCTGAGATTAGGAGCACTCCCTTTAAGAGTGTGCTCCTAATCTCAGCTCGTTACCTGTATAAAAGACACCTGGGAGCCAGAAATCTTTCTGATTGAGAGGGGGTCAAATACTTATTTCCCTCATTAAAATGCAAATCAATTTATAACATTTTTGACATGCGTTTTTCTGGATTTTTTTGTTGTTATTCTGTCTCTCACTGTTCAAATAAACCTACCATTAAAATTATAGACTGATCATTTCTTTGTCAGTGGGCAAACGTACAAAATCAGCAGGGGATCAAATACTTTTTTCCCTCACTGTAGAGAAAATCACTTCACCAGGGCTTGTGCTGCTCTGCTGCTATTGTCACTGAAATTGCTATGTGAAATTGAAGTTCTGGGACAATGGCCTTTGTCTACAGCTAACTATGTGATGTCACAAGAGCACCGACCAAAAGGGAGAGAAGATTATGAAAGGAAGGGATGGCAGAGACTGAGGGGTGGTGTGTGTGTGTGTGTGCGTCTGTGTGTGATTCATTATTTAACTGTGTATTGATCTTGCTCCATCAGAGTGTTGAGGAAGAGCACCACCGGCTGCAGCAGGTCCTGTCTAAGTTCTCCCTGGAGGGAGGCAACTTCTAGTGAGATACACAGCGCCACCTTCGGGACACCAGGTGAACCTTCATATACAACCCTTTATACTGATGTCAAGTGGGAGGAGTTGCCATTTACCACTGATACAGGGTCAGATCTTTTATTATCCCTCTAGTTAAGATAAGGGTTGGGGTTAGAGTAATCTGACCTTAGGTCTGTGGTTAAGGTCAACTTCTACCTCAGGCTTTGCAATGCCATGGGTATTAATACTAGAATTGTGTCCAGGATATGTTGTCTTCTCTAATCTCACCAACTCTTTTCTTTACCCTTGTCATCTCTTGCTCTTCCTCAGATCACTGTAAGTGCTGGATTGGAGTGCTAGAGTTGCTTTTGGAGGATTGATGAATGCGTCCTGGAATTTCCTATTTACTAAACACTCTCTGTGCTCCACTGCCATGCCTGAGCCCTTGTTAAAGATTTACAGGGGGTCGCAGACAACCGCGAGGCCCTTGCAAGGCGGAGGAGGAGGGCTTTGCGCAAAGTAGTTGAGTAATGCAATGTGGGAGGTGTGTGTGTGTGTGTGTGAATATACTAGTGTGTGCAAGTGAGTGAGCGTGTGAGAGAGGGGAGTTTTGCAAACAGGTGCCAAAGATTAGAGCAGTAGTTTGCTGTGAGAGAGATGCTGCCTATGCTTATTGATTGTGAGCTGTTGCAACACACATACACACACAACAGATACTTCCCCCAGTGTATGTTCAATATATATATATATGTATTTATATAATTGCCAACTGTAGGGGTTTGGACAGTATGATAAACCCCCATGTATGCATGTCGAGAGAGATACTAGTGTCAGCCCTATAGAGGGCGATGTAGAGCTGTAGAACCAGACATAGGAACATGCTCAGGGTTGTGAAATTCTGGTAACTTTTCCAGAATTCACAGGTTTTCTCAAAATCCTGGTTGGAAGATTCCTGGAATAAGGAGGAATTATTGGAATCCTTCAACTGGGGATTTCTGGAGAAGCTGGGATTTTTGGGAAAGTTACCTGGAACTTTCCAAACCTAGACATGCTACTGCACATTTAGTGGGCCCCTATATCCAGTACATGCCAAAGTACAGCAGAGATGCACTTTTAAGTTAGTATAATCCAATTCAAGTGACCACCCATACTGAATTCCCAACATTGATTTTGATAATATTTATTACTATTATTATAATAAATAATTTATGCCATTTAGCAGACGCTTCTATCCAAAGTGACTTAGTCATGCGTGCATACCTTTTACTTATGGGGTGGTCCCGGGAATCGAACCCATTACCCTGGCGCTACAAGCACCATGCTCTACCGACTGAGCTACAAAAGACCTTTGTTTTTATAAATAGAAAAACTAAACCATGAATGAATTGAATTAACCAATGTTGTGCCATGTGTATCATAGCCAACCCCAATTGTTGAGAAGACATGTGTGTCTGTGTGTGTGTGTGTGTGTATGTGTGTTACAGTGTTCTGGAAGCAAAATGGCCTTCTTCTGTAGTTACTGTAATTAAGTTCCGTTAGAACTTTAATTATGGTCCAAACATTCATCTAGTAGCACTGGAACTGATCATGTTGTTAGGGATATAGACTGTATGTACTGCTTTTGACTTTAGCTGCCTCTCCATTGGACCCTGCTACTGTGCTGGGCCGGGCGATAGAGGGATGGATGGAAGGAGAGAGGGAGAGCGGAGGACCGTTTTTAAGACTGAAGTAGGATGTAGATTAGAGATGGAGGGATACAGCAAGGAAGAGAGGAGTAAGGGAGGAGAGAAGGGGAGGCAGAAGGGCTTTTGCTTCGAAGACCAACTTGATTAGCAGCGTATTAGATGGTGATGGATGGAGATGTAGAGATGAGAAGACTTGAAGTTCAGTGTAATGTAGAATATGTTATAGACACAGTCAGACACACACACACACACACACACACACACACACACACACTGATACTTGCATTGCGTGGGAGCCCAGTGCAGTAACAATGGTCACACAGGAGAACGGTCATCACGTGTGTGATGTCACTGGAGTCGACTTCCTGACTATAGGGCTAGTAGCTTCTCGCTAAAGAAAGGAGGGAGACGGAGGGAGACATATTGTATTATATGCTGTTGGATACGTTTTTAGTCCGATACAAAGGTTATAGTCGTCAATGGTAGCAATACCATTTTTGTGTGTATTTGTCTTCAGGAGTTGATTGTAATTATTGTTATTATTTTGATGATTTCGTTTTTAGAGTAGTGGCATTGAACTGTGGGAAACAGGACCAAAGAGAGAGCCATGTACCTGTAGATCCTCATATGAGCTGTTCATATTATCCCACTGCTTATTAGTATAGGAGAAAGTCACTTTATGCTGATTGGAGAGTGATGCCTATGTGTCTGATGCCTACAGTAAGTAGCCTTGGCTCTCTGCTTCTCCTCCATCCAAACTCCAGCGTCACATATAGAGAGAGAAAACAACACAGTGGGTAGGAACTTAGACAGTAGAGGGAGATAATGATATCTAAACTTGTATGAAGACTGTGCTGTGATACATCCATCCATGCTGCTGCCCCAGACTAATGAACAAGACTTAACTGGACACTTCACAATCACACTGACATTCAAATCCTCTATTCATTACTACCACGTGTGAGCAGGGCTGCACTGTGTTGTTATAGACATGACTCACCTAGCATCACTTTCATATTGACTGGAACACAGGGGAACACATTTAGGGACAGCATGGGATGACAGTACAGTAAGATACAGAAGGATACTGAGCTACTGTTTCTATAGACCACTTCGGGAATGAAGAGAAGCGGGTCAGTGGAGTTTGGATTCAGGAATTGCAGACACGACTAGTCGTCACTCTCACCAGTGCTGTAATGACAGTTATCTTTCACGATCACTTTTGAATTATGCATTCTCGTGGCCATAGCAACCGCTCCCTTACCCCCTCCCCCAAATATGTAATTATGCAAATGTTGTTATTGATAGTTACTCAAAGAAGCAGAGGGCGAGGTTACGAGTTGTGTTGAAACTTCATTGTCTTTTTTCTTTCACCCCCCACTCCTTTCTTTTCTCGTCTTCCCCTCTCCATCACCAAGTCCACAATAATAGTCTCCATCTCTCCTTCATCCTGTCTTCCTTCTAGAAGTGGTAGAAATGTAGTCCTTACTTCCTTACTACTCTCATCACCTTTTCTTATCGCACAATTTCACTGTACGTTGCTGTGTATTTTATTTCATTTGCTTAAACGGGTCGGGAGTTTTTTTTTGTGTGATGTTTTGTTGAGAGGAACGTATGTAATTATGTACTATACATTTGGCAACAATGGGAAAAAGAGGAAGAGACTTGCATAGCTTTTGTTTGCTCAGAAATGCCAAATGTGAGACCGCTCACTTGTATTATACAATACTGGATGGCAACAAGATAAGGTTAAACAGATTATCTCTAACTAGGGCTTTTTCACCATTGAACCACAGTAATGAGCAGGTTAAATCCTGTTATACCAGCTTAGGTTAATACCTCCACCGTCACTGTAGTCTCAAGACTACTTGGCAAACGTGTGCTTACCAAAGTCTCTCCACTCTCTCTCTCTCTTCCCTTTGCTTCCCCTCATGTATCCTATTTAGAAATACATAGTGGTCTACTTTATTTGTATAAAATGTATTTATAGAGAAGGGTGCCTTGTTCTGATGATCAAGCTTGTTTTTTTCCCCAAAGGGCTCTCTAGTAAACAAACACTGTTGGTTGGGGAAATGTTTGGCTGTTAAGTACCATGAAATTAACATAGAAAGAGTTGGGTGACCAACATCAAGTCTCCAGTTTCAAGTTTTAATGTCACATGCGCAATTACAGTGAAATGCCTTTCTTGCAAGCTCTAAAACAACATGCATTCTAGGTTGGACCAGGAGGTTTTCCTAGTCAGGTCACATGGTCAGGAAATCCCCCCTGGCCTTAATTCTAGGTAATCCCAGGTTTCAGATAGGTGGTTTGTGGGGGATTGACTGTAGGGTGGCGGTATATGTCCTGCAGTGTCCCCTGTAACTATGCTATCTCAGGGGTATGTATGTTACAAAGTGTATTGTGTGTGTGTGTTCACCTCAGCGACTACAGGGTTTGACCAGCACCATGTTTGCTCCAGCTAGCCAGCGCTTTGTATAGAATAGGGTCTGGTCTGTCACACAGGCATCCGCCACATGTCTTATCTATAAAACAATGAATATGCAAGATCTATACTGTGTATTTTGGCATTGATTTCATTGAGTAAGAGTCTTTAATTGTATACTTCAGAAGAAATTAGGTACGTTTTTTTTAATTGTAATTTTCAGTTTTTTTTTAATAAATGGGGAAGAAAAACACACTTTTTCTGTCTTTTACTGTTTTTAGTTCTAGAACACTGCAATCACTCAAGCATATATCCTGACACAGAGAGACCAACAAAAGAGGAAGGAAGGTTGTTCACAAGACAACTGGGTTAGAAGTGTATAGCTGTGTTGAAAGGCACAACACTCAAAATACCATCGGACCAAAATACTTTTTATGAAGGCTTTTTATTTTCTGCAACGACTGGCAACCAATATAAAACATAGTGAAGAAGATGGTGGCCATGACATTCTTATTCCTCTGCTTCTGGGCTGGTGAGTAAGGGGCTGCTAGGATACGCTGATAAACAGTGCAGGGTAGTTAGCCTTTCAGTGCATATTCACCTTTATTTGAGATCAATTACGTTACATTGTGGCGCCGGAGTATATGTGGCGCCGGAGTATAAACCATGGTGTTTGAGTGAATTAATATGAATATTCTCAACATCCTTTGAACAGATTTCAACCCTTTAAACCATGCATTGCAACATTAAAACAATTTTCCCCCATTTTATCCCTTGGAACATGAGATTATTTGGCTGTTTGTGTGACATTATGTACATGTGAGAACACTGAGGGAGTATAATGTATTAATGTATCTGTTCTGCTCTAATGAACCGTATCTCCTACAAGAGCAGATGGTTAAGCTATCACACACTAGAATCTATACCCCACACTTATAACACTTCTCTAAATAACAAGAGATGTTAAGAGACATAATATTACAGCACTGGATTGTGTGGAGTTCTTATACTTTGTAGGCTACAGTTTCTTTATATCATCATTGTCTTGGGCCAATAGTTGGACAGATATGCTGTCAATAACTGACCTTTGATCAGTGTATCATGGGTCAACCTCATCCAACTCCTGCTGCTCTGCCTTCTAGCAGGTGTCCACGGTGACCTCCGCCAGATCCAGGTTACTCTGGAGGCAGACAGGCCCTCTCTGAGGGTGCAGCTCTCTCACACCGCCTCCCTGCAATGCTGCTACTCAGCCACAGGGGCCCCCGTGCAGATCACCTGGGTCACCCGCCTCCACATAGTCAACAGCACGGCCGGCCCGCAGCGAGTGGACCGGAGAGACAACCGTGTGACGGTGAATGGGGTGAACTGGACGGCGGCGGGGGTCATGTGTCACACACTCATCCTGAGGGAAGTCCGTCTGAACGACTCAGGGTTGTACCAGTGTTTTCTCAACCACAGCGCCCTGTGGCCCTCATTGTACACCCACGGCACCTTCCTGCAGGTCTACAGTGAGTGTGTGTGTGTGAAGCCCTCACAGTAAGCACCCACGTCACCTTCCTTCAGGTATTGTGTGTGTAACCCTCAAAAGCTTCAGTCTAGACTGTACTCATAGTACTTTGTTGTACAGTATTTCTACTATGTGTGTGTGTGTGTGTCAGTGTGTATGTACGTGTGGGTGTCTGGGGGGATGGGGTCAAACCAGCTAAGCAATGGAGAATGCTTTGTAATCGACAAATCTAGTTAACCACTGCCCAGTCCAGTAGAATGCACCATGAATGGCAGTATCTGTTCTTGTGGATCACGTAGATCATCTGTGATGGTCATGACAACCTGCCCACGTAAAAGTTGGGTCCCGGTAGTGCACACAGATCAGACCAGATTGCAATCCACCTAAAGCACCCAGACTTAAGTCACCAGAGAATGGCTACATTGTGTGGTAATCCCTCTGATTTAATTCAAATTACCAATGTTGAAATGATAAACAAATGCTTTGTTTATAGTTTTTCCTTGGAATGTGTGTGACATAAGGAGCATTGTTTTTTTTATTTATCTCAAAATATTCTCCTCTGTCTTGCTGCAATCTGATGCATGGTACTCTGCCCCCCCCTTTCATTCACATCTAGCCTACATCTCACCCATGAAAGAGCAGCAGGTGAGTTCTATTCTGATGACCTTTATCTGACCCCTCTCTCCCTGCTCAGGGCCGATGGTGAAGATTCTGGACATCAGTGAAAGCACCAAGAACAGCATCCTGACGGCTGAGGGAGTGTTACTGATGGTGGTGGTGCTTCTGCATGGTACCATGATGCTCCGTAAGGTCAGAGAGGCAAGCAGGCCACCTTTTCTACTCTAATGCTAGGCTACTAGACCTAATATTCCTAATTTACTCTCATTCCAATAGTGAATTTTGTCATTTGAAAACTCTGCTTTAACCAGAAGGACTAGTATGTATGGTAATCTTACTATATGACGACAATGGGCTTTTTTTCACACCATTGTCATGAGAATTACTTAATATCATGATGTCATTAACTTCCTCTCCTTTTCAAGACGAAGAAACGAAATCAACTAAAGAAGAAAAGGGTCAAAGAGGAAGAGGAGAATATCTATGAGGTGGGGCTTGAATGAGATCCTCTCTCTGTCTTTCTGTCATAGTAACTGTTTTCACCATTCTTCTGTCAATCAAACAAGTCCTAGAAGAAGGGAAGAGGAAGTCAAACTATCATGACCTCCCTTACCTCAATCCATATACAGGGTCTAAATCTGGAGGAATGCAGTTCCACATATGATCAGATCCAGCGCTCTCTGGTGCAGGGCCCCTACCAAGATGTGGGAAAAATGCTCATAGAGGAGGAGGAGGAGGAAATCCAACTGGAGAAGCCTTGAATGAGAGGGGGCAGGAAGGAGGGGGAGGAAGAGAGAGGGTGGGAGAAGAGAAGAGTCATTTGAGAGAACAGAATTGGGGTGAGGGTTTTGATAGGAATTTTCTTCAAAAGTGCTCCCCCCCATGTTTGAATTTATAGAGGTGACCTGCGTTTTCCTTGCAGCCTTTGCCTATATTTGAATCTAATTTCTTAGTGGGCCAAAAAGGCAGTAAACTACAATATCAGGGGGAATTTTGCTTTCAGTTTAGCCTTTCATTACCATTGCCAATACCTAAACATTTTATATAAATAAGAGAGATTATTTTTTCTGCATATTTGCATTTTCTACGCTTTTGTGTATGCATTGGCCAAATGTTTTTTTCTCTCCAATCTCCATAATTCAAGGCCTGAATTGTGCTTTGTAAATAAAAGTATAAAACTGATTTGCCTTATGCTTTCATGTTTACATATTTAGCATTTTTGCTTCATGAAATTGATGTATTTGTCATATGTCACTCGCGCCCATACTGATGTGACAGGCTTGATGGAGTCTCGGAAGCGTTATCCCATTTCTGAACCTGGATCTGACTCTGCAACGGTACCCCCCTGTATATATAGCCTCCCTACTGTCACTTTATTTTACTTCTGCTCTTTTTTTCTCAACACTTTTTTTTGTTGTTGTTTTATTCTTACTTTTTTTGTTTAAAATAAATGCACTGTTGGTTAAGGGCTGTAAGTAAGCATTTCACTGTAATGTCTGCACCTGTTGTATTCGGCGCATGTGACCAATACAATTTGATTTGATTTGATTTGATTTATTATGAGCCATCTTCCCCTCAGCAGCCTCCACTGCCGATGTTGTAGCTTGTAGGCAGCTACTAAGCCGTCACTAGGCTATAATACATGAAGGTTTACCTCCCTGTGATGGGAAACCTACTGACAGACAGTACCGTACTTTGTTTACCACAGATGATTATCTGGGGAAAGCTTTTGGACACTGCAACGCAGCAAAGAGAGGTGGCGTTTGTCAAATTGGAGCACGTCAATAGGCTCTAGGAATACATAGCCAGCGCTGACTGGCTGCGGTTTTGTTTGTGGGTGTGTCTTTTTCACAGGTATGACTAGAAGGTTTGAGAAGGCGGTGCGAAAATAGTGGGCGAAGATGGCGTCGGGAAAGAAGGGAGGCAATAGCAGCCTCGAAAAAGGTTTGAATGGACGACGTTCGTCAAAACATAAAGAGGGGCCAATAGGTACGTAATTTACAGCAGTTAGAAATTTGACCTTTCGCTTTAGTGGTTTTTGATCATGGCGGTTAAATTAGGTTGCACACCAACTCTTGCCTCTCTTCTAGCTAGCTAACTAGGATGCTAACGTTAGCCAAGTTACAGAAATATTTAAGCCGCGTCAAGTGACAACAACAGTCTAACATGTAACGTTGGCATTAAGTTTTCTGGCAACTTGCATTATGTGATATGAGGTTTGTGCATTAAAATAGTTGCCAGTGTTTCGAAGCTAAGCTTAGTAGTTAGCTAGGTTGAAACTTTCACAACTCGTTTTATTTCATAATGTAGGTAACGCGCTATCTCGCTACAATGTAACGTTTCCAATGACTTGGAAATTGTAACAATTTTGCGCGAGTCATTGACTGTATTTAGAATCAACATTGTATCTAATCGAAACCTCGTGTCACCTGTTATATCGGTATATTTCTTTAGCCCCTGTTGCTTACTCCCAGCTCATGTAGGCTAACGATGACAATGCTCCACCTGATCAGGTTGTCAAAACAGTGATTAACGTGTGTGTGTGTGTGGAGGGGTGAGGGACGCTGAGAAGCGGCAGAATGCAACAGCAGCATCCTATCATTCTTCAGACAGTGTTGCCATCAGTTTACATTTGGAACCGTGTACTCAACAATGTGACACATGTGCAGACTGGAAAAGAACATGCTTGAGGGGTCGGCAGTACATGGCCATGGATAAGCCATTGTCAGTCAGACGGTTCTCCCACTGTAGCGGGCTTCTTCACTAGACTTTTAATTAACCATCACTCTATTTACAAACACCTGGATTAAATATGTCCAAGAGCCTTTCACCATAGTCTCTCACAAACAAACCATTCATCTGTAGGCATTTAGTAATGAGGCGAATGAACATGATATTATCTTCAGCAAACGTGCCTCTTGGATGAAAACTGGCACTAGACTGTTATTGTGGAGCAAAGAGACCTGTTATTATCTCTAGCTGTAAGCCCCTTTTGAGTGATTCCAGATAATGAGTGAAGAGCCAGATGCATTCTGCAGGGGCAGGATTTCCTCCTTCCCATAGACATTTGAATTCCAAAAATACCTGTGGATTGGATTGCCACAACATTAACCACACGTTTAGCCTATCCATCAAAATATGCAGATAACGGTGAATGTAGCCTAGTCGTCGAAACATTGGCTATAGATGCCGTCTGACCTTAGCAATGACCTGCTGTATGAGATGTTGACTCAACTGTCAGTTGACTAGCCACCTCCTAGTACTAGACTGTCTTATCTGGTTTGTCATCTCAGTCAGTGTAGTAAAGGACTGAGTGGAAACCAGTCCAGGCCACCAGGCATGCTTGGTTGTGAGGGGTGGAGAGGCTCATTGTTACTAACGTCCTGTTGTGAAGTTTGGCACAGCCCGAGGAAGATGTAGCCTAGCCTTCACACTGTTTGAATGCTTCTTGACTTCAATTGGCAATAGGGCTTACTTCCTCAGGCTTAGCCTATTTTTGGTACCATGGCATTTCTGATGAAAAGTTAACTTATATGCCATCTAAAGTTAAAGAGCAGTGCAGTGTGCACCACCCATAACATCTCTAGGCCTAGGTGACATCATGCCATGATCAACTGACAAACAGCGCCGGAGAAGATGGCTGCCGTTTTACAGCCCTCTAACCAATTGTACTATTATGTGTGTTTTTCCGCGTTATTTGACATTTATTTTGTACATAATGTTTCTGCCATCGTCTCTTATAACCAAAAAGAGCTTCTGGATATCAGGACAGCGATTACTCACCTCGTATTGGACGAAGATTTTTTCTTCAACGAGGCGGCCGCGATGGATATCATACAGACACCCGACAAGGCCCAAATTCGCGTGAGGAAGAGACGGAGATATCGTGGACGTAGATCGGGGTGCCTTGTAAGGATCCGACGGCGAGCGAGTAAACTGCCTCTTCCATCAATTCTATTAGCCAATCTTCAATCATTGGATAACAAATTGGATGACCTAAGATTACGGTTATCCTACCAACGGGACATTAAAAACTGTAGTATCTTATGTTTCACGAGTCGTGGCTGAACGACAACAATGATAACATACAGCTAGCGGGCTATACGCTACATCGGCAGGATAGAACGGCTGACTCCGGTAAGACAAGGGGTGGCGGTCTGTGTATATTTGTAAACAACAGCTGGTGCACAAAATCAAATACTAAGGAAGTCTCAAGGTTTTGCTCGCCTGAGGTAGAGTATCTTATGATAAGCTGTAGACCACACTATTTACCAAGAGGGTTTTCATCTATATTTTTCATAGCTGTCTATTTACCACCATAAACCAATGCTGGCATTAAGATTGCACTGAATGAGTTGTACATGGCCATAAATCAACAGGAAAACGCTCATCCAGATGCAGCGCTCCTAGTGGCCGGGGACTTTAATGCAGGGAAACTTAAATCCGTTCTACCTAATTTCTACCAGCATGTTAAATGTGCAACCAGAGGAAAAAAAACTATAGACCACCTTTACTCCACACACAGAGACTCATACAAAGCTCTCCCTTGCCCTCCATTTGGCAAATCTGACCATAACTCTATCCTCCTGATTCCTGCTTATAAGCAAAAACTAAAGCAGGAAGCACCAGTGACTCGGTTAATAAAAAAGTGGTCAGATGACGCAGATGCTAAGCTACAGGACTGTTTTTCTAGCACAGTCTGGAACATGTTCCGGGATTCTTCAGACAGCATTGAGGAGTACACCACATCAGTCACTGGCTTCATCAATAAGTGCATCGATGATGTCGTCCCCACAGTGACCGTACGTACATACCCCAACCAGAAGCCATGGATTACAGGAAACATCCGCACTGAGCTAAAGGGTAGAGCTTCCGCTTTCAAGGAACGGGACTCTAACCCGGACGCTTATAAGAAATCCCGCTATGCCCTCCGACGAACCATCAAACAGGCAAAGAGTCAATATAGGACTAAGATTGAATCGTACTACACTGGCTCTGACGCTCGTCGGATGTGGCAGGGCTTGAAAACTATTACAGACTACAAAGGGAAGCACAGCCGCGAGCTGCCCAGTGACACAAGCCTACCAGACGAGCTAAACCACTTCTATGCTCGCTTCGAGGCAAGCAACACTGAAGCATGCATGAGAGCACCAGCTGTTCCGGATGACTATGTGATCACGCTCTCCGTAGCCGATGTGAGTAAGACTTTTAAGCAGGTCAACATTCACAAGGCCGCAGGGCCAGACGGATTACCAGGACGTGTACTCCGAGCATGTGCTGACCAACTGGCAAGTGTCTTCACTGACATTTTCACAACATGTCCCTGACTGAGTCTGTAATACCAACATGTTTCAAGCAGACCACCATAGTCCCCGTGCCCAAGGACTCTAAGATAACCTGCCTAAATGACTACCGACCCGTAGCACTGACGTCTGTAGCCATGAAGTGCTTTGAAAGGCTGGTCATGGCTCACATCAACAGCATTATCCCAGAAACCCTAGACCCACTCCAATTTGCATACCGCCCCAACAGATCCACAGATGATGCAATCTCTATTGCACTCCACACTGCCCTTTCCCACCTGGACAAGAGGAACACCTACGTGAGAATGCTATTCATTGACTACAGCTCAGCATTCAACACCATAGTGCCCTCTAAGCTCATCACTAAGCTAAGGATCCTGGGACTAAACACCTCCCTCTGCAACTGGATCCTGGACTTCCTGACGGGCCGCCCCCAGGTGGTAAGGGTAGGTAACAAC